CTTCCAGCCCCTGAAGAATAGACTCTTAGGAGAAGGCAGGTGGGACAGTCTGCTGATTCCAAGAGGCCTCAGGCCCTGACCTGGGGAAGCAGGCAGTGGGGAGAAGGGCTTGATGGGTAGATGAAGAGGAGGAAGTTCTGTCCAGACCATTCCGAGGCTGCCTGGGAGCCTAAGGACCCTAAGGAGAGGATGAATGACAAGCAGTCTAACCCTGTTCTTACTTCCTGTTTCCAGGCCCCTCACTTGGCTCACCTGAGAGCAGGAGTCAAGATGGGTGAGATGCCGCTAGCTGACAGCATTCTCTGTGATGGTCTCACAGATGCCTTTCACAACTACCACATGGGCATCACAGGTAAGGCCGATGTGGCTGCCAACACCAGCTTTAGAAGGTTGACAAGAGCAGGTGACCGTGAGGCTGTTAGCATAGGGGTCTGAGTATAAGGGCATCCTGCTTAGCTGCTATGGTATGGTAGTGAACAGGTGTAACCACCCCAGCACTTGGCGGTGTGTGTGTGTGTGTGTGTGTGTGTGTGTGTGTGTGTGTGTGTGTTTCTCTGTGCATCATGTGGATCTGGGAAATTGAACACAAATCATTTATCTTTCATCAAGTGACTTGACCAATATTCTGTTTCATTGACCCAAGGAAGGGTTCTTTTTTTCTTTTAAGGCAAGGTTTTATTAGATACTAGTCTCAGCTCTAGAGTCCTAGCTGACCTTGAACCAGGCTGGCCTGCCTGTCTCCCCAGTGCTGGGATGAAAGGTGTGCCGCACCACACCTGTTTTGTTTTAAAGACTTAATAGTACAATAGGTAAAGTTTGAAGGTGAGCTAAGAATTAGTGTTAATATTAAATGTCCTGGTTTTTAAAAAATTGTTTTAAAGTCGGTATTTGTGTATGCATGGGCACACAGTATCTAAGTACCAGAGTGTAGGTGTGGAGGTCACAGATCAACCTGTAGTGTTCAGTTCTTCTCCCACTCTGGAATCCAGGTCTTCAGGTTTGGCAGCAAGCATCTTCGTCACCTGCCCTGATTATGTAAATAATTTGTCTGAGGGAACAAGTATACACTGAAATTATAATTCAGAGGTAAAAGTGAATTGTATTTCCATCTTTTCCTCAGGTGGATAGGAAAGAGAATGTTCGGGTAAATGGGGCAGAAATATCAGTGGTGAGTCTGGATACTGATTTCTGGAAGTCTACACTTCCATATGTAGAAAGAGAAAGAGAGACGCCTCTCAAGAGGCACTGCAGATTTCCTGTCTGCTTGTAACAGGTCAGCAGAACCCGCCCACAGAGCACTGCTGTCCCCCTAGCAGGAGCCTTGCTGCTGTGTTCTGGTAATTCTGGTTTAAATTGAGGAGCTTGAGCTCCCAACACCCAGCTCATGAATATGATGTTTTTGCCTTTTCTTCTCCTCAGCTGAGAATGTGGCCAAAAAATGGCAAGTGAGTAGAGAAGCCCAGGACAAGGTTGCAGTTGTGTCCCAGAACAGGGCAGAGCATGCCCAGAAGGCTGGCCACTTTGACAAGGAGATTGTGCCGGTGTTGGTGTCTTCCAGGAAAGGTGAGCATGGAGGCCACTGTAGACATGAGCCTGCCCGCAGATATGAAAACCCAGTAGCACCCGCAAGGATGGTGTGTAGGCTGTTTGTGAACTCTGGTCCTTCCAAGTTGTGAAGATGTAGGCTTTATACGTCTGACTGTGAGTGCAGATGGTGATGTGTTCTTTTGAGACATGCTCCTGCTGTGTAGCCCTGGATGGACTACAGCTCATTATGTGGACAGGCTGGAAAACAGTCTACACGGGATATGGTCACACGGGAAACCGTGTGTATCCAGTGGGTTCCATGAGGAGTGGAGCCTTTCCAGTTGCCCCATGTGGACCTTACATCCCATTTGCAAAGGACACATTCTGAAGCAGAGTCTGAGACAGCTCCTTTGTCAATAACTGACGTTCATGCCCAGCTAAGAGGTGGGCGGTTCCACTCCTGTTCTACTCAGTTGTAGCCAGCTAAATGCAGTGACTCAAAGCCCTGTGCATACATACTCATAGCCTGTCCCTGGGGGAGGCCTGTGGATTTGGGACACAGCAAGACGGCCTCACAAGAGTTCCCATGGAACAGCATGCAGTAATTCTAGGAGTTTCCTACTGGAATGAAGTTGGTAAATGTGAATAAACCTTTCTTCCAAATGCAAATCCTCTTGTTTGAGAAGTCCCAGCACTGCCTTCTCTGGGAAATGCTTTTACTTTCTCCAGGTTCTACTGAAATGAAAATTGATGAGTTTCCTCGCCATGGGAGTAACATGGAAGCTGTGGCCAAGCTAAAACCTTACTTTCTTACTGATGGGACAGGAACAGTCACCACTGCCAATGCAACAGGTTCGATTTCGGAAGGACATTGGGAAAAGGACCAAGTTTGGTGGGGTCTACCAAGTGAATCTTTGTAGTGGCACCTTTCTTTGTCAGTGAACTTGTGGTGATGGCCACATCCTAGGGGCGTGGCTTATAACGAAGAGGAGGGGCCGGCTTGTGCTCTAGAGTTGTGGTGAGGGCTGTGACTTTGTGGACTCTTTTAAAGCCCACCTTCAAATCTTTCTACATCAAATGATTCCTACAACTGGGTTTAGGGGAAAGCTTTTCTATATTGTCTGTTATTTAATCTATTCTGAAGTGATTTGCTTTCTTGGCATCTAGACTAGACATATAAGTTAAAATAGCAAAAAATAAGCCAGGTGGTGGTGCACGCCTTTAATCCCAGCACTCGGGAGGCAGAGGCAGGTGGATCTCTGTGAGTTCTGAGACCAGCCTGGTCTACAAGAGCTAGTTCCAGGTCAGCCTCCAAAGCCACAGAGAAACCCTGTCTCATAAACAAAAACAAAACAGTAAAATTAAGAACTCTTAGGGGGAAAGGGAGGAAGGGAGAGGGAGGGGGGCGGGCTTTACTCCCAGCACTTAGGTAGCAAAAGGCAGGTGTATCTCTGTGGTTTCAAGGTCATCACAGTCTACATAAACACATTCTAGGGTAACTAGGGTTACATAGTGAGACAGGCTCTGAAAACCCTATGTTCATCTACTACCTACTTTTCCAATTCCAGAAAGTCTCAGTACCTTTCATCCTCATCCCTGTGTCTCCATAGCTACTGGAGGCATCTCATGTTTGGTAGGCATCATACTCCAAACTTGCCAATTTCAGGTAAATGGTGTCCCCGGGTACATGCCTAAAGTTAAAGGGCTCTGTAGAAACTGAGTCACTTGTTCACAGGGATGAACGATGGTGCCGCTGCTGTGGTTCTTATGAAGAAGAAAGAAGCTGAGAGTCGGATGCTAAAACCTTTAGCAAGAATAGTTTCGTGGTCCCAAGCTGGTGTGGAGCCTTCCATTATGGGAGTAGGGCCAATCCCAGCTATAAAGCAAGCTGTGAGTCTTTGGCAATGTGTATGCGTGCCTGTGGGCACATGCATGTCTTTGGCAGTGTGTATGCGTGTCTGTGGGCACATGCATGACAGGGTTTGAGAAGCCCAGGCTACTGTCAAAGTGTGTAGCCACAGGGGGAAGCTTGAGCCTGCTTCTCCTAGTCCCTTCCCAAATGCTGGGGTTACAGGTATGCATCAGCAGTGACCACAGCTTTAAGGTCACTCCTGGCCGGGCGTTGGTGGCGCACGCCTTTAATCCCAGCACTTGGGAGGCAGAGGCAGGCAGATCTCTGTGAGTTCGAGGTCAGCCTGGTCTACAAGAGCTAGTTCCAGGACAGCCTCCAAAGCCACAGAGAAACCCTGTCTCGAAAAACAAAAACAAACAAAAAAAAGGTCACTCCTGATGTGAGAATATGATGCTTTGTGGTAAATTCCTGCTACCTTGTTTCACTTGCTGCCACTTAGCCTTCAGCACTGGGATTACAAGTGCACATCTCCATGCCTGGCTTTCTTAAAATGTAGTTCTGGTGGTCAAACTCAGGCGCCATGCAAAGCGTGTACCTGCAGTCACTTTGCCAGTTCAAGCTTCCTTTTGTGGCATAGCCCAACCTGGCCTCAGATTTAGTTATCTAGTTTCAGCCTCTTAAATACCTGAAGCACAGGTGTACCACTCTACCTACGTAGAGTAACTTTTACACTGTGATGTGTGCTTTTCTGGGAACATTATGTAGGCTGATTTTGCCTTTTGAACCCTTGGGATACAGGCAGAGGCCACCATGGCACACCTAACTATATAGTAGCCGTTTTCAGAATCCCATACATTGTGTATATTTGTCAGTAACTAATGGTTTTACCTCGGCTGGCTTTTCCTATAGGTTGCAAAAGCAGGCTGGTCCCTGGCAGATGTTGACCTGTTTGAAATCAATGAAGCCTACGCAGCTCTCTCTGTTGCAATAGCTAAAGAACTTGGATTAAACCCTGAGAAGGTAACCAGCGTGAAGTTGTACAGTTTGCCAGTGAACTTGCACAATCCATACTTAAGGTTGTAAGAAACAACAAATGAGGTTGCCAAAGATAACTAGTTTTCAGTTGACTTGTTTTTCACAGCAAGAACTGAGTATGCTGATTCACAATGAATAGGACATTCTAGAAACAAGGGAATCAGCAGGTGTCACAGGCAGTGTTTACTCCTCAGCTTTACAAGGACACTTGAAGGGGAGGGGGTTGCCAGCATAACATCGAGAGGAACAGGATAAACTGGGGTGTTGGCCTGTGTCCACAGAAGCCTGACTGACAGACCCTCTCCTTCCCTGTAGGTCAACATCAATGGAGGAGCCATTGCCTTGGGCCATCCCCTGGGAGCATCTGGCTGCAGGATTCTAGTGACCTTGTTACACAGCCTTGAGAGGATGGGCGGGACTCGTGGTGTGGCAGCCCTGTGCATTGGGGGTGGCATGGGGATAGCTATGTGTGTTCAGAGAGGGTGACCTGCCCGACAGCCATCACCCTCGAATGGTTCTTGTTAAATGTGAAACACTAGCTAGTATGTGAAATCAGAGGACCAAAGTGAGGACAGGAACCCAGGTGGACAGCTCGCTGTACTTTAATGTGAGATACCCAAAGCTAAGACATTGCAACCTCACACTGCTATAAATAAAAGGGAAATCCAATCAGTCATCAAGGGCTCCAGAGTGAACCGCATTTTCATAACTTCCATGTTTATCATCTTTAGTTTCCGGGTGTAATTTTATCAGATCATCGATTCGAAGAATGGTGATCGCAGCTTCTGTTGCAAACTTCAGGCTCTTCACTTTAACTATGGTTGGTTCAAACACCCCTGCTTGCTTGTTGTCTCGTGGTTTGCCATTGACCAAATCAAGACCAATCCTGTAATGGTGAAAATGGGACTAAATGATCCTTCCAAGCTGACGTGGTTGGTGTCCCAGCTATTCTAGTCTAGTCCAAAGACTCTGCACGTTCTAGCAAGTGTGCCTCTGGGAGTGGGAAAGCTGGTTATGTAGCAGAAAATCCCTATCTGCCAAACATTCAGCAAATAGTCACATGTTGCACAATGATATATTACACTCAGCCAAGTTGTGTATACAGTTTGGTGGTCAAAAGATTCTTTTGCCTAATGACAGCACAATCTGTCTTGCTTGGTGTTAAGTATGCTTTACAATGTCTTTATAAGGACCAGATTATCTAATGACACACCATTCTGAGGCTGTCTTCACTATAAGCTGAGGGGGCTGCCTGAAAAGGGTAAAAATAACCTAAGATCATTCTCTTGGCCCCTCCTATAGATTATCTAGGGAGTCAGGATGGGATTCAGAGTTAACACCTACAACATAATAGTGCTAAAAGTCAGCAGCCACCACCACATAGATAGGTACCAGGCAACAATGATGCCAGTAATGTTTCAGTATGTGACAAGTCCCTTCAAGTATTCAAGAAAGGCAAAGGGAGGGACAAAGGTACCGTGATGAACTTAAAACAGACCCTTGATAGTTGACAATGGAACACGAGGAAATTGTATACTCACCACTTCAGGTTTTTACGCTCTGGGTTAACTTGAGCCTCATTGTGAAAAGCTCTTAACTTGGCAACCAGGTCAGTGGAGTCTTGGGCAGCATTCACTGCCAGTGTATTAGGAATAACAAGAAGAGACCTTGCAAACTCTGCAATAGCAAGCTGTTCCCGAGACCCCTAAGAAGAAAAACATGAGGTGTCTTTGTGCAGGTATACCCAACACCACCACCTCTCATAACCTCTCTGAATCTAACCTTACCATACTGGTTGCATAGTTTTCAAGGTATATGGACAGGGCAGCTTCTACAGCACCTCCACCTGGGACTACAGATTTTGACTCCAAAACTCTCTTCACCACACAAAGAGCATCATGTAAAGATCGCTCCATTTCATCACACATGAAATCATTTGCTCCTCGTAAGATGATTGATGCAGATGTACGAGCCTTGGTACTAGGAAAAACAAAAAATGAAGTCATCAGCACTTAAGTAATAAAAGCAAAATTAACGGCAAACACCATTGATTAAATCCTGCTCACATTTAAACATAAGGCAGCAAGAACAATGTCTAGACCATGCAGAAGAGACAAAACACACACTTCATCTCGATTTACAATGGCCCAATGTTATTTTATCCCACGCGTATAACTGCTCCCATCACTGAGAGACCAGAGCAGCAAACAAATGGGAAAGGACGCTCTACAACAGAACCTGCACTGCCGTAGCTTGCAACAGTCACTCTTACTTTTTGATTAAGATCAGCTCATCATCACAGATTCTCTCCTGGACCACCTCTTCTGCTTGTCCCAGCATTGTAGCTTCAAAAGTTTCCTCGCCTTCCAAATTGGCCAGTGTGGACAGGATAGTTGCTGTATAAGACAGTCATAAGGACACACATTTGCTTTCATGATTTTAGTTTAGTGATTTTCCTTATGAGAAAAGCAACACATTATTTTAAGGGTACAGACAAGTCACCACAACTTAACACAAAACTATCACTTTTGAGGTACAGTCAGTTTACTCATCTGCAACAAACTCAGCAAACAACTTTCCCAATCACCTGAAAAGAAAAGTGGCTCCCTGAGTCCACTAGAGCACAAGAGAAGCTTTTGAACTCAGTGTCAATATTTCAACACTTCTGACGCAGTCACACACATCACTAAGTGGTTTGTCTCAGGCTGGGAGAAGACATACCTCCAGAAGCTTTAGCGATACGCTTGAGATCCCTCTTTAGAACTCGTCTAACAGCCATGGCACCTGCCTCCACAAAGTACTTCAAACACATATCATCTATTCCACCAGTGGTCAGAATAACATTGGCCCCAGTTGCCAGGATCTTCTCAATTCTCTCCTTGGTGATGTCTGATTCTCTACAGAGAAAATGTTTCAGTAATCCAAAATGAACAACTTCAGTATTTTAAATAATGCAGCTGTAATTTTCACTAGTTATACATACCCCCTTTTGCCCTCTCCCACCTAAGGATGCAACAATACAGATTTATTAATAATGACAATCCCAAGTCAGCATCACTAAAGCTGTATGAAGTCAAGCAGGGGACACACAAACCCAGTCATACATTGTGGAATAAAAGTGGTTCAGGGTTGAACCAGCAGAAGTCATATAAGACCAGGAAATGAAGACCCTCGAGAGGTATAAGAGTATGTAGACCCGTGTTAGTGGCGCACGCCTCTAATCCCAGCACTTAGGAGGCAGAGGCAGGTGGATATCTGTAAGTTTGAGGCCAGCCTGGTCTACAGAGCGAGTTCCAGGACAGCCTCCAAAACAATACAGAGAAACCCTGTCCCAAAGAGTTTGTAACATAGTAGATGGCAAAGATGCTTAATATTATGAGGCGTGACTATTATTGTCAAAATGTATTTTTTCAAATGAGCTTACGACGTTAATGTGAAAATGACTGGAGAGATGAAAAGACTCCATAGACAGAAACCAGAGATGAGATCCCCTTGCCTCTGTCTCCTGGGATTGAAGACATGTGCCACCACTGCCTGGCTCATTTGTGGGCATTTCTAACAAGCCTCAACGAATCCCCCAGGAGGCATGAAAATCATAAGCAAATATATAAGAGATCACAAATCAATTATCGAAGTCATATCCCATCTACACAATGGACATATTTGTCACAAGCCAATTATACAATAGCAATCCCCTTAGAGCAAAATGGATTAAAGCATGTCTGCAGGAGTGGTATCACAGCAGCTAGTCAACACTGCCAGCTATGTCACACTGTCATAGTACATAGTATCTTATATGAGAACTACAGCAGCCATGCATAGTATCTAACTTGAGGCAACACTATGCTGCCCTTGCTGACCACAATTCCTCATTCCTCAGCTTAAATGATCCACCTGTTTCAGACATGTAAAGCTAGGACATGCCTGGCGTGACTAACCATTATTTTGTAACATGCTTCTACCAAGCACAAGTGCTGATTTTTTTTTTTTTTTTTGGTTTTTCGAGACAGGGTTTCTCTGTATTGTTTTGGAGCCTGTCCTGGAACTCACTCGGTAGACCAGGCTGGTCTCGAACTCACAGTGATCCGCCTGTCTCTGCCTCCCAAGTGCTGGGATTAAAGGCGTGCGCCATCAACGCCCGGCCACAAGTGCTGATTTACAAACCTTTTCACAGGCAAGTCTCCCCACATACCTCTGTCTAATTTGGTCCAATTTCTCAGGGTCTGTAATAACCACCTGCACACCAAGCTTCATTTTTGTTTTCTGCAGGCTGAAGTCAAGACATGCAATTTTTGCATTAACTATCCTCTTGGGCATGCCTGCAAATGAATAAAAGGTTACCTATAACAATGCTAGGGTTCACAGAAGAGACTTATCAGTAAGACCGCAACAGAAAAATTTGTTATATGTAACCAAATTAAGATGACAATTCATTACGTTAAACCTTAGGAAAGTCTGACAGTTGCAAGTGTGCACAATTCCTCTCAATCTATACCCACCACAAATAATTCTTTTTTAAAGGTAGGGTTTTACTATGTAGACAAGGCTGGCCCCTAAATTGAGAGACCTACCTAACAGTGCCTCGGTGTTTGAATTAAATGCCCGTGCCACCTTGCCCAGCCTCCCATCACAATTATTTAAGTCATCAAGATGTAGACTACAGGGCTGGAGAGGTGGCTCAGCGGTTAAAAACACTGACTGGTTTTCCAGAGGTCCTGAGTTCAATTCCCAGCAACCACATGGTGGCTCACAACCACCTACAATTCAATCTGGTGCCCTCTTCTGGCCGAACACTGTATATGTAATAAATAAATAAATCTAAATATACACAGAGAGACAAAGACCAAACCAAACCAACAAAGAACAATCATGCTGACCCTTACGTACCCTGAGATCCCACCACACAGTTGAGTGCGTAGCCATTGATCAGCATGCTTTCTACCTGACTTCTCCCATGGGCTTTCAGAATATTAACAGAATTGACTGGATAGCGAGGCTGGCCTCTTGCATCTGTGTATTTGACAGCAAGTACAGCATCTACCACCATATTAGCAAAGTAATCACCATTTCTGAGACAAGAGTTAAGGACAGCAATGGTCTTGGAATAAAAGCAATTCAACTAGACTTTCTTTTAGCAAGGCAATCCAGGGATGAAAGACAGCACTATAGCTACAGTCAGGTGACTTCTGTCTGCACAGCACCATATGCATTCCAAACCACCCTCACCACCGCAAGGCTGAGGAGGCAGTAGTAGTTTCAGTCACTTTTCTCTAACAAGACCAAGTTGCATTAGATAAGAGTTTTAAGTTTTATTGCATAAAATTGACATTCTATAAAAACCTAGTCTTATTTTTAAGAGTGAAGGGGGTAAGAGTCAAATTTTGCCAGAACATTTAAGGATACATTCCAATAATTTTGGAAGACATGGATGTCTTAGCGGCATTAATCAGACAGTCTCTTCCAAGTTCGTCTGTGTTAATAATTAGGTTCTCACTGATATAGCGCACTGCTTCCCTGGGAAAGAAAAATATAAACACATCACTCAGAGAGGTTTTGCGTTTCACCACACCCAACATACTGTCTAATGTCACAGACGATGGTTTTCTGTTCAGCCATTTCATATAGGGGGAAGACACCGAAAAGTCCCCTCCCTTCAGATCATGGCACCTTTCATCTATCCCATAAGCATAGCCACTATAATCTACTGGGAGAAAACGTGGTAGTCAACTGGGAAAACAGGTGCACTGGGCTGAGTGTTTCAATACCACCACCCGAATGCCAAGACAGAGCACATCCACTGAAGATTAGTCACAGCATTAAGACAGACTACAACCATTACAGTTTTCTTTGAATATAATCTTACTTGCAGGCAAGCCGATAGCCACTAATAACTGATGTTGGATGAATTTTCTGTTTGACTAGTTCATCTGCATTTTTCAGAAGCTCCGCTGCAATAATTACCTGTTGATTAAACACTGCTAAGTATTCATGTCATTCAATATGCACAATGTATAAAGAAAACATAAAATTATGTAATATTGTTATTTTTATCTTATTTACTTATTTGTTCTTTCAAAACAGGGTTTCCTTGTGTAGCCTGGCGGTTCTGGAACTCAGAGATCCACCTTCTATTGCCTTCCCAACTGCTGGGATTAAAAGTATGCACCACAATGCCCAGCTATGACCTAGCACTACTAACCAGCCACAGTAGACAAGTGAGTAGTAGCTCACTGAAAATACAAAATAGAGACCACCACAAAGTAGTCTGTGCAAATGGCCCAAGCTACAAACACCAGAAAAATGCAAGAACCCAGCACAACAGAATTTACATCCATTACATTTAGAGATTGAGTAACAAAAACTAAATAACTGAAATGATTTGTGCTATTCTAGTATTTTTAACTAAATCTTAAAATCATTAAAAATATGGAACACTAAGAACCACTTTCTGAATTAAGTCAAGAGATGGCAGAGTACGCCTTGTGTGTGTGTGTGTGTGATTGATCCCCAAAAGAATTTATCCATGTCTTTTGAGAGGAATTATGGTATTTGTTAAGTCACATCATGTATAAACAAATTAGATAAAGGCCATTTTCACTGTTTAGGAATAAAATTAATTTTCTTCACAATCACTTTTTAAAGAGTTTAAACAGTATTATACCAGTATGCTGAATAATTCACCAAGTGTATGGGTTTTGTTTTGGAGGCTGTCCTGGAACTTGCTTGGGAGACCAGGCTGGCCTCGAACTCACAGAGATCCACCTGTCTCTGCCTCCCAAGCGAGTGCTGGGATTAAAGGCAGGCATGTGCCACTAATTAAATGTTATTAACCATGTTTGTTGACTATTAGCACTGCATGGTAGCAAATTAACTTCCTCAAATTTCTATTCTGAATTCTCAAGATTTCCTGTCCATGGTTAAAATTCAAAAACTAAACAGAAGTCCAAACCTGGTATCATTTTCTTTAAATGAGAACCTCTTTTTAAACATTATCATGGCAAGGGGGTTGAAAATAAGAGTATTTAGAACAAGCTTTTATCCTCTATGATTTTTTTCTACTTAAATGGCACAAACTAGGTTCAAAGATTAGTTTTCAAATGTCATAAAACCTTCAACACCCGACACATTTCCAGTCTGGAGCATAGGATCCTGTCACAGACTCAACTCTAGGAAGCGGACCTGCTGTATACCCTCTCCCACAGCCTCACCACTGAGGTGGTTCCGTCTCCCACTTCTTTGTCCTGCAGGTCAGCCAGCTCACAAAGCACTTTGGCCGCAGGGTGCTCTACCTCCAGCAACTTCAGGATGGTGGCCCCATCGTTAGTAATGGTCACGTCCTGAGAAACATGAAGGAAGGGGGTCAACCCAGAAACCAAGCTCCACGGTGGGCCACCAACAACAGTGAGGCATACTTACACCAATATCATCCACCAACATTTTATCCAAGCCAACTGGCCCAAGAGAACTTTTAACAATGTTGGCAATAGAAGCTGCAGCCATAACTGTAGATGAACATCGAGGGGAAAAAAATTAGAAAAATTCACAAGCTACAAGCTACCCAACCACCTATGACTTCCTTGTATCTACAAATCTGCAATTACTATTTTGGGGGGGGACGACGACACCTATTTAAGGACTAGTGAAGGTTAACTTTTTTGTTGTTTTTTCAAGACAGTGTTTCTCTGTGTAACAGTCCTCCCTGTCCTGTAGACGAGGCTGGCCTCGAACTCTCAGAGATCCACTTGCCTCTGCCTCCCAAGCGAGTGCTGGGATTAACGGCGTGGGCCAACACCGCGCGGCTATGTTGACTATTTTGAGTACAGGAATGTCACAAAGAGTTCAATGCCTCAAAAAATAAGTAATCCCCACCATTGTTCAATCAAAATATTTATTTAAAATGTGAGATGCCCTACGGTTGCTGGGACTTGAACCCGGGTCTTGTGGAAGAGCAGTCAGTGTTTTTAACCGGCGAGCCATCTCTCCACCCCGTTAGGAGAAATTTCCAGGCACACCTCAGCCCTTTCTTCCAGCCTGTAGCACGTTTTACTAAGAACAGTGTAGTCCATCTGGGCAGTAAGCGTGTTTCGGGGCGGACTTGGGCACAACCACGAACGGAAGACGTTAAATGCTTCCAAGGGTAGGGTCCGCTACGGCAAACCACGTGTTGCTAACTCGCGTGCGGTTCGATTAGCAATCCGTTAGGTAGGTTTTCCTGGGGGCAGCTGTCAACTGTAAGACCGGGACCGGCCGGAGGGAGACAACGCCAAGGCCACCTAAGCTCTGCGGGCACGGCCTCGTGGGCACGCGGAGCGGGCGACACCGGCACAAAGCGGGCGCCCACGCCCATCCCGCGCCGCGCTCGAGCCTTCTTCCCTGCCGCACGCGGAAGGGCGCCGCGGTGCCGACACGGCCCGCGGGCTCGGGCCAGCCCTGGGCTCGGGCCTCGCGACCGCGGTTGGGCCTCGGCCTGCGCCGCCGCGCCGCGGGGCCTGGCGCAGGGTGCGCTCGCCCTTACCATTCTGGGAGCGGATGGCCTCCCCGGTGCTGCGGTCCCCGAACACGGACAAAGGGCCCTCCATCTTCAGGGAGCCTGGCCAGTCTCACTCACACCGCGCGCGGACAACCGGGATCTCCGCTCCGAGGCCGGACGGCGGCCACCACGGCGTGGAGAGGTCCGAGCAGCGCCGCACGGGATGCTGGGTAACGCGCCCCGCCCGTGCTCCCCTCTCCGCGAGGCATGCTGGGAAAGGAGGATGGGCGAGGCGGCGAGCGCCGGAAGCGGAGCGGGCGGCTCTACAATTTCTTGTCCAATTAGAGGCGCGAACGGGGGTGTGGGGGCGATTGCTCGGGTTGCGCATGCGCGCTCGCGCCTTCTAGCGCTTTCCAGGGAAGTTGGTTGAGCTGGGGTGTGGCGGGAGGGGGCAGGGGACCCTCGTTCCTCGGCGCGGCTGGGAGCGCGCGCGCGCCTTTTTGTCTCCGCGCTCCCGTCAGAGCTGGGAATCGGGGAGCGCTCGGCCGCAGCGGAGCGGACGCGGCTCTCCCACCCTGAGAGACCCGTGCACCCCGCTCGCCCAGAGCCCCAAGGCGCGTGGCGCCCCTCGGGGAACCCGCAGCCGGGCGACCCCAGCCTGAGAGTCCCGCGAGCGGCAGGGAAAGGGCCCCCGAGAAAGCCGCTACCAGAGCGTGCCCCACCCCCCCGTCTCGACGTCAGCGGTGATTGGCGGAGCACTCGGGAGCTTGTTAGTTCCGGGTCCCGCAGTGACCCACGACCTGCTGGCAGCTGTAGCCTTTCCCTCAGTGAACATGGCTGCGGCCAGTCGTTCTCTCTGACGACAGTGAGCCCAGGAAGGCAGGGCCCTGGGAGGCTCTGCCCGCGTCCCGTCCGCGATGGCGCTTCAGCCGCGGCTCTGGAAATGGCTGTCAGCTTGCGGGAAGCTGGGTAACTAGTCTCGCCCCACGTCGTTGCCTGCGCGCTGTGCAGTTTTTGTTTTCGTATTTTTGGGGGGAATTTGCAAATCCGGTTTTGCACCCGAGGTTCCGCGTGCGAAAGCGAACGCAGTAACCGCACCCGGGGGTGACCGTAGGAGGTTATGGGTCGGTGGTGATAGCCTGCTGCTGGGCCTTGTGATGGGAATGGCTAGAGCGCGCCCGTATTAGTCCTTTTAAAGGTCCACGCGGTCGTTCTCATTTCCTAGAGTGTGGGTTCGCAGCACGCTCGACCAGTTCCACGCCAGCGATTCAGCCCCAAGTGGAGACTAAGGAAAACGAAGCTGTGGCCCCAGTGTTCACCAACAGGAACCCTCGGAATCTGGAGCTCTTAGGGGTGGCCAGGAAAGAACGGGGCTGGGCCACAGTGTGGCCCAACCGTGAGTTCTGGCACAGGTAATTAACAGATGATTTGAGAATATGAGACTATGTGCTGATCCCTCTCTGAACAGGTGACACGTCAGAAATCAGGATCTAAGCCGGGCGGTGGTGGTGCACGCCTTTAATCCCAGCACTCCTGAGGCAGAGGGAGGCGGATCTCTATCTGTTCAAAGCCAGCCTGGGCTACAAAGGCTAGGGCTGCTACACGGAAAAACCCGTCTTACCTGGTGGTGGTGGTGGTGGTGGTGGCGGCGGCTCACACCTTTAATCTCAGCACTGCGGAGGCAGAGGGAGATGGATCTCTGTGAGTTCAAGGCCAGCCTGGTCTCCAAGTGCTAGTTCTAGGACAGCCTCCAAAGCTACACAGAGAAACCATATTTCCAAAAACAAAACAGAAAAAACCAACCCCCTGTCTGAAAACAACAAAGCTGAGTCCTAAAGGATGGGAGACAGTCATTTGACACGAAGGACACTCTGCTACAGGACGCTGCTAGGCTGCGGTTGGTCAGGGTCTGGGGATCCCACAGGCCTGTGTACCTGGAGTTCAGTAAATAAAGGGCTCAGTGACACATGATGGAAATAGAGTAGTAAGTACAATTAGGTTATTAGCTTGCAGATTAGGATGATTTTTAAGTGGGGAATAAAAGGAAGGCCAGTTAAAAGTCTGTTAAGAGAAACGAGATACTTTTTTATTTTATTTTATTTGTGGAGGCTGGAGCAGGGCACTTACTGAGTTTACGCAGGACCCAGGTTCAGTTCCCAGCACCCATACCTGGCTGTAACTCCAGCTGTAACCACAGACATACATGTAGGCAAAATGTTCATACACGTAAAAACATGTTTAATTTTATTTTGGGGAACTATGAGGGTTAGACCAGGGCCTTCAGCCACACAAAGAGAGTGTTCTGCCTCTGGACTGCACTTCCCAGCCCTAAGATGGCTATTTATTGAAAACATTGTATTTACCAGGAGCTATGCAGGTTGCTTTGCATTTGTGTATTTTCTTGGTTTAATTATGTAAACTACATTAGGAAGCAGGTGTAGCGGTTTTCTCCACTTTCTCTAGAGATGGAGGAATTGAAACCGAAGGGGAGATGATTAATGCTGGAGCTAGGAGTCAGACACCTACATCCCATTCCAGTTTGAAGTCCTGGGGATTGAATTCGGGTGACCAACCTTGGCGGGAAGCACCTTTTCCCACTGAGCTGTCGGAACAGCCTAGTCGCTAAATTCTTGAGAAACATACAGGCATTCATTCATTGAAGTAACTTTTTAATTCTCTTTTCACCCCACTTAGGTTACGAGTTATAAAGACGCAGCATCACATAGACGCGCTGGTTGAGCACCAGAACGGCCAGGTGGTGGTTTCGGCGTCCACTCGTGAATGGGCTATTAAAAAACACCTGTATAACACCAGAAATGTGGTGGCTTGTGAGAGTGTGGGACGCGTGCTGGCACAGCGATGCCTAGAAGCAGGGATCAATTTCATGGTCTACCAACCAACCCCCTGGGAGGCGTCCTCAGACTCGGTATCTTTGTTTCTGTATAGTAACTTAAGAGATACAACTTTGGGGCTTGCTGGTAGTGCTCACCTTTAATCCCAGCACTCGGGAGGCAGAGGCAGGCGGATCTCTGTGAGTTCGAGACCAGCCTGGTCTAAGGAGTGAAGTCCAGCATAACAGGACTACACAGAGAACCCCTGTATAGAAAACCCCAAGCCGGGCGTTGGTGGCGCACGCCTTTAATCCCAGCACTCGGGTGGCAGAGGCAGGCGGATCTCTGTGAGTTCGAGACTATCCTGGACTACCAAGCAAGTTCCAGGACAGCCTCCAAAGCCACAGAGAAACCCTGTCTCGAAAAACCAAAAAAAAAAAAAAAAAAAAACCACAAACAAAAAGATTAAAGTTTGGGGTGTTGAGGTAGAAGCAGAGACACAGATGGAGCTCTTGAATTCAGGGCCAGGTCAATAGAGCAAGTTCCATCCAGGCAGGAATAGGGTGAGACCTTGTCTCAAAAAAAAGTGCTAAGTTGGTTGTTGGTGGCACAGGTCTATAATTACAGGGGTTGAGGCAGAGGGATCTCAAGCTGAATAACATAGTAAGATCCTGTCTCATAAATTTAAAAGGAAAAGTGGAGACTAGGACTATAAATCAGTGATAGCTCTTGTGTAGCATGTTGGATGCCTTGTGTTCCATCCATAGAGCGCACGCACACACACAGGTTCAGAACTGGGCATGCAGCTCTGCTCTGAGAGCACTGCCTAGCATGTGCAGTCTAGCAACACACAGAGACAATAGAAGGCGTTTTGTTAGTTCTTGGTATTAGATATACTTACATTATTTTCTGAGGGTATTCCAGGTGTTAGGCCTGTGGCTGGGTACTGTGACAACATTTGATTTTTGCAAGTCCATATGAGCTAGAGTGTTTCCATTCTCTGCACTAACTGTAGTCAGTGGGTATTGTAAGTGCTGGATGATGGAGTGCCTGTAGTCTAGGATGTTAGCACTTCACTTGCTATCCTTAGACTGGCATCTTGCCCATGGAGTTAAAGGTGCTATCACTGATACCTTTCCACTTCCTTTTTCTTATGTTCTTAAGATCACTCAGAAAAACTCAGCAGACTGGGAGGTCAACAAGATGAAATCAGTTGTTTCTTTGTCTCTTGGGAAGCAGATGGTTTTCTGAAGGTTAACCAAATGTTTTCCTTTTTTCCCTTCTCCCCTGATCTTCAAACCAGTTAAAATGTCTCCAGAATGCCATGACAGACAGTGGTGTGGTGCTTCGGGAGCCTCGGAGAATCTATGAATGAAATAGAAGCATTAACTGTTCTGAAAGGTAAACATAAAACCGTCAGCTACTCAAGCCATGGAAAGAAAGCATCTGCATCTAAAAACAGAAAGAAAGAAAGAAAGAAAGAAAGAAAGAAAGAAAGAAAGAAAGAAAGAAAGAAAGAAAGAAAGAGGCTTTGGAGAGAGAACCAGACTGAAAGCTTCATAGCAACAATGTAACAGTGGAGAGCTATTTAAAGTCAGCCTCTTTCCACTTCTACGTGTGCTTGTGTGGTTTTGTTCTTTTAATCATGAGCTAAACTTGTCTTTGGTGAACATGACAAGTACTTAAGAGAAGCAGTCACCAGTTATAACCATTAAAAGAACAAATAAAATGTTAATAACAACCTGTAAACCCTTGCTGTGTTACTCTCTAAGCGCCTGTAGCCAGTCATCAGGGAATGAGGATTGCTTGCGGCTCAGGATGGGGGCTGGTGTTTTGCTTTGTTTTTTGTTTTTTTTTTTTTTCAGACAGGGTTTCTCTGTATTGCTTTGAAGCCTGTTCTGGAGCTTGCTCTGTAGACCAGGCTAGCTTCAAACTCACAGAGATCCGCCTGCCTCTGTCTCCTGAGTGCTGGGATTCAAGGCGTGCGCCACCAACGCCCAGCTTGCTTTGTTTTTAATGTAAGTGTAACTGTAAACTCAGATACTGCGGCCACACGCTGCAAATGCCTTATACACTTCCTTGGACTCCCTAGTGATTTCAGGCAAATATTTTTTTTCCAGACAACTCTTAAGAGAGAAACGAGTGTGAGGAGTAACCAATGGGAGGTGGAAATGATGAGTTGTGAATGTTCATTTGAGAATTCAAACCTGGCTGTAGGAAAAGCCTTAGAGTCATACAAGGGGCTGGAGAGATGGCTCAGTGTGTTTAAGAGTTTCCATGACCAGAATAGTAGCTCACACCTGGTACCACAGTTCTAGGAAATCCAACACCCACTTCTGGCCTCCACAGGTACTGCACACACGTGCACATACACACCAGCAAAATTACCCAATAAGTTATGTACTCTGTGGGACTGATCAAGACCCCCTGAATCTGGGTGTCAGTGAGGAGGCCTAGGGAATCTATTGAGCCTTGGGCAGCAGATCAGTACCCATCTCAAGTATACACACGGACTTTGGACTCCCATAGAACAATGTGAGGTGCACTCTCACCCTGAACTCTTGGGGAAGGGTCTAGGCCCTGCCCTATATGAAATGACAGACTATGGACCCCCATGGAGGGCCTCATCCTCCCTGGGGGAATGAGAGAATAGGGGGGTTGGGGGAGGGCACGGAAGGAGGGGAGGGAATGGGAGAGGGACCTGGAACTGACTTGTGAAGCAACCTCGTTTCTTATCTAAATTTAAACTGGAAAATAAAATATAAAAAAAAAGTTACGTACTCTGTTTTCTGAGTGAGAAGTTTTATTAGAAAGGGGAGGGAGGGGGAAGGAAAGAGGTAAAGAGACATGGGAGGACAGAAGAGAAGATGGAGATGGGAGCAGAAAGAGAAATAAATGTATGTATTAATACAATGCAGCCAGGTGGTGGTGGCGCATGCCTTTAATCCCAGCACTGGGGATGCAGAGCAGGAGGATCTCTGTGAGTTTGAGGTCAGCCTGGTCCACAGAACAAGTGCCAGGATAGGCTCCAAAACTACACAGAGAAACCCCGTCTCAAAAAAATAAAAAGAAAAATAAATAAAAAGAACACCATGAAGCCAGGTGGTGGTGGTGCACTCCTTTAATCCCAGCACTCGGGATGCAGATGCAGGAGGATCTCTATGAGTTTGAGGTCAGCCTGGTCTACAGAACAAGTGCCAGGATAGGCTCCAAAACTACACAGAGAAACCCTGTCTCAAAAAAATAAAAAGAAAAAAGAAAAAATACCATGAAGCTGGGCAGTGGTGTTGCAGGCCTTTAATCCCAGCACTCGGAATGCAGATGCAGGAGGATCTCTATGAGTTTGAGGTCAGCCTGGTCTACAGAACAAGTGCCAGGATAGGCTCCAAAACTACACAGAGAAACCCTGTCTCAAAAAAATAAAAAGAAAAAAGAAAAAATACCATGAAGCTGGGCAGTGGTGTTGCACGCCTTTAATCCCAAAACTCGGGATGCAGATGCAGGAGGATCTCTGTGGGTTTGAGACCAGCCTGGTCTACAGAGTGAGTTCTAGGACAGGATCCAAAGCCACAGAGAAACCCTGTCTCAAAAAACAAAACAAAACAAAAAACATGCACTGGGTGGTGATGGCACCCACCTTTAATCCCAGCACTTGTGATGCAAAGGCAAGTGGATCTTTATGAATTTGAGGCCAATCTGGTCTACACAGTTCCAGGACAGCCAGGGACCCCTGTGTGGTGTTATCTTTATTTTTGTTTTTTTTTAAGGGGGTTCAAGACAGGGTTTCTCTGTGTCTTGGAGGTTGTCCTTGAACTCCATCTTGTACACCAGACTGATCTCTGGGCTCACAGAGATCAGCCTGCTCCTTCCTGTGGAGTGCTGGGATTAAAGGCAGATGCCACCACCGCCCAGCTCTCTGTGTGGGGTTGTCTTGCTTGTCCAAATAAAGTCTATTTGAAGGTCAGAGGATGAAGCTTAATACCAGCTTATCCTAGAGATCTGTAGGGCTGTACAGACAGACAGGAAGTGAGGTAGCTGGGCGGGCAGAAACAGGATATATAAGCAGGGAGAAATACGAGCAATTCACTCTCCTCTGAGACGCTAAGGAGGTAAGTTGTGGGGTTGCTCCTTCTCTCTGATCTCAGCATTTCCCTCTACATCTGAGTTTGGCTTTAAGAACTAATAACTCCATTTACAGCCGTGTCTCAAAAAAAACTTAGGCCGCAGCTTGGGGAGAGTGGCAGCTTTCTGAAAGTTAAGTAGATGTGTAAACTAGGTGGCTTTTATCGCTGTCTTCAAATATTTTACCTCAACAGCTTTGCTTAGGAGAAAATGTATTTTGAGAAGTCATTGTTTTATTTTTTAAAAGACTTATTTATGTGCATCGGTGTTTTCCTGCATATATGTCTGTGAGGATGAATGATCCGATCCCCTGGTACTGGAGTTACAGCTGCCTTGTGGGTGCTGGGAATCCGAATCCTGGATCTCTGGAAGAGCAGCCAGTGCTCTTAACTCCTGGGCCATTTCTCCAGTTCTGTTATTTTAGAAAATTGGCAAGCATGTGTATTTTTTTTTTTCGAGACAGGGTTTCTCTGTATTGTTTTGGAGGCTTTCCTGGAACTCCCTCTGTAGACCAGGCTGGTCTCGAACCCACAGAGATCCGCTTGCCTCTGCTTCCCGAGTGCTGGGATTAAAGGCGTGCGCCACCCCTGCCCAGGAAGCGTATGCCTGTTTTTAGAACACTGACTCCCAAGGCATTCAGCATCCAACCGCACAGGAGTCATGCTGATCAACAAATACCCAAGTGAAAGCAAAGTTTTATTTTTTTCTTCCCTTGGAGTAAATACGAAGCATAGCACGTTACTCAGAAGCCCAGGTCTCTAGGAGACTGCAAGTCCAGAACTTGCAGAAGAGTGAGCATGGAGACTGGTCACCGGTCCCCTTAGGCATTTCTACAGGGTAAAGCCCCACTAGCTGATCGCCTTCAGCACAGCTGGGGGCTCTCGACGGCAACAGCCTCCCCTTCCCTAGCAAGTTCGTTAAGATCAAAGCTGTGGGCATCACATGCAAATTCGCACCTAACAGGTTCTGGCTGTAACAGGCCACACGCGACCAGGATTAAAGCCCTGCGCAGCGGAAACGCGTGGACAGCACGTGGCCACATCCGGCGCGCCTTGGAACCAGCGGCTATGGACGTAGACGCCAGTAATTTTAAACAGAGCCTCTCACGCCTGCAGGATCTTCTCGATGACGCGGACTTTGTGGGTGAGGTACCCGGGGTGGCAGGCCCTGTCATCAGAGCTGCCTGTCGGGGAGAGCCTGGGGACTGATGTGTGTGTGTGTGGCTCAGTCCTGGATGGGGCTCCAGGCCAGAGGGGCTCATAGAAGGGAGAGGAGGTTCTCCCCCTCCTGCAGGGGCCCGAAGCTCCCAAACCCACCGCCCCTGCTGTCCCTACAGCCCTGTGTGAAACCGTATGCCAGGTTCCTGTTTGGTTGATTGACCAAATGGGATTGACCATTTGCAGTGTGAAAGGTGCTTGCTCTATGCCTGACAATCGTTTATTTTGCTCTCCCGTAGGTCTCGACATAGAGTTCACAGGTCTACGTTCAAACTCGTCCCAACAGATCAGGTACGGCCCAGAGAGGCCCTCACTTGTGTCTCTTTAATTAGGCCTTGCCAGACTAGCACTGTTTCCCAGCAGGTTCCTGCTGTCTTTAATGGTTTGTGTTGGGTATTTTTCTTGGGGGGGGTTGAGTTGTTCCCACCTGTTTTTTTGGCCAAATGCAGGTAGGTGTTTCCTAATTGTGGTAACAAAGACAACCGGTCCCTGATTGAGAGTAGCTGAGCCTGCCTCAGGCCTGCATCTGAACCCCTTGCCTGTGCAATGAGACTCCCCTCTCTTCACAGTCTCTTTGATTCACCGTCCGAGTGGTACCAGAAGACCCGCCAGAGCATTCAGCAGTTTACGATATGTCAGATCGGTGAGTCTGATGTTCGATTCTTTGTTATGGATTGTTCAAGATCTCTCTCTCTCTCTCTCTCTCTTTCTTTCTCTCTCTCTTCTCTCTCTCTCTCTCTCTCTCTCTCTCTCTCTCTCTCTCTCTCTCTCTCTCTCTCTCTCTCTCTCTCTTTCTTTCTTTCTTTCTTTTTGGTTTTTTGAGACAGGGTAGACCAGGCTGGCCTCGAACTCACAGAGATCCGCCTCCCTCTGCCTCCGAGTGCTGTGATTAAAGGTGTGAGCCACCAACCCTGGCTGGAGAAGGTTTTTGGTTGGTTTTGTTTTTTTGTTTTGTTTTTTGAGACAGGGTTTCTCTGTGGCTTTGGAGGTTGTCCTGGAACTAGCTGTTGTAGACCAACCAGGCTGCCTCTGCCTTCCAAATGCTGGGATTAAAGGTGTGTGCCACCAACACCCAGCTTAATTTTTTTTGGTTTTTTTTCGAGACAGGGTTTCTCTGTGGCTTTGGAGGCTGTCCTGGAACTCACTTTGTAGACCAGGCTGGCCTCGAACTCACAGAGATCCGCCTGCCTCTGCCTTCGGCTCGAGCTTTTAAAATTTAAAGTTGATTCATCATTTGAGTGTGGCAATCAGAAGATGATATGGTGGAGTACAGTCTGTCCTACCATCTTTAAATCAGTTCCAGGGATTAAACTTGGGTCATTCAGCTTCTGTGTAAGTGCCTTTGCCCAGGATCACCTTAAGCTTACAAAATCTTCCTGTCTTAGCCTCTGGAGAAGGAATGTAGCCAAATTATTCAACTTCTAATACTCCTGCCCATACCTCCCGAGTACTGGGACTACTATGAAAATGTTGATCTGCTACTTCTGTGCTTGGGAAACTGGCCATCATTCCATTTTGGTAGTTTTAGCACAAGCTGTGGTGTGGCAGACCTCATGCTGCAGGTCTGTTTTTTGTTTTTGTTTTGTTTTTCAGGAGGGTCGTGCCCCCTGTCTGCAGTCCTCTGTCTGTGGGTGCAAAGCATGGGCATCAGTGTTTGGTCTTTGCCTGGCATCAGGTGGCTTTTCCTCAGTATTTATCACCTCTCCTGTTTTTGTTCTAGGACTGTCTGTATTTTATAGCGTTGAAGGAGAGCCGAACAAGTATGTATAACAGCCGTTACAAACAGCTTTTCCCATCTGTGTTTGGCAGCTTTGCCTTGAGCATCTGAACCACATTGGCCTGGACACTCTGTTCTGACTTCTGGCTCTTGCATACATGCTGTGCTCTGAAGTCAGGGAGTAGTGGCTTGTCTGTGTGGGGCCTCTCCTGCCCTGTGTCCCGGGCTCTCCTTTCTCTCCATCAGCTGGTCCTTGTGCGTCTTTGGGAGGTAGTAAAGTGTGGCTTTAAAAGTCTCTCAGGCACCAGCTGCACCTTTTGGGGCACCGCTGCCTGGAAGCTGTTGCAGGAGCCTGGGTGTATGTGTTGGGTGTTACCTCCCTGCTGCTCTGGCTGAATATCTGGAGCTTCTGGGTGAACCATGGACCTGTTTCTACTTTGCTCCCCAAGGACAGTACCATTGTCTGTTGGCCCCTAGACAGAGTATCTGAAATACGTTCAGATTTCAGGAAACACTCAGATCCTTAATAAATGAAATTATTCAGATCCTTAAGAAATCCCAGCCTGCCCCAGGGCCTGATATATGAGCCAGGTGGTTCATCTGTGTGTCCTGTTTGAGGTTTCTCATCACTGTCTCTACTTTATAGGTATGTAGCCCATTCCTACAACTTTTTCCTCTTCCCTACAACATTTGGGATCTTGGACTCAGAGTTCTCATTCCAGGCATCTAGTGTTCAGTTTTTGAATCAGTATGGCTTTGACTATAACAAGGTATGAACCCAGAGGAGGGGGGCTGTGCCAAGGTACCCCCCTCACTTTGCTGCCCGGCCCGCAGACAGCTCTCACTCATCCTTGTTCTCATCTTGTCTTCAGTTCCTCAAAAAAGGAATCCCATACATGAATGAAGAGCAGGAGAAGAAAATTAGGCAGAGCATCTTGCGAGGGAACTGGAGAGTTCGAAGGTGGGTCCACTCCCAAGTATCTTTGCCCTCCTGTTTCCCACCTCTGTAGATGGGAGGCTAGCCCATCCAACCACACCTGACTGGAATGGCTTTGGCCAATCTCCTTTCAACTCCCATGTGAACTTTTTTTTTTTTTTTTTGGGAGGTGAGTGTCCAGTCTGATCCTTTTGGGGGGGGGATTTATAGACAGGGTTTCTGTGGCTTTGGAGGCTGTCCTGGATTTGTAGACCAGGCTGGTCTCAAATTCATAGAACCGCCTGCCTCTGCCTCCTGAGTGCTGGGATTAAAGGCGTGTACCACCACCTTTTTTTTTTTTTTTGTGAGGCAGGGTTTCTCAGTGTAACAGCCCTGGCTGTCCTGGTATTCAATTTGTAAACCAGGCTGGCCTTGGACTCATTGAGATCTTCCTGCTTCCCAAATGTTGGGATTAAAGGCAAGTACCACCACCGACCTGCGAAAAGGGGGAGGTGACTTCCTGTTTTTCCTTTCAGTCTGTGCCTGATGCCTGGAACTGGAGTTGAAGGTTAAGCCACCAGGTGGTGCTGGGAAGTGTGAACCTGCTTCCTCTAGAAGAGCACCTCGTGCTCTTAACTGCTGAGCCATCTCTCCAGCCCTTAGTTTGAGTTTTGAATCTTACTTGGAGCTTAGATTTCTGACAGGAGAGAGGGTGCATCCATGTCCTTGTCTTCTTATGTTTCCACCAACATTTCTGCTTCTCTGTCCATTTTCAGTTCTCTGGATAAGGACCAAATTAAGGTGGTGATTGATAAGGTGACTCGGTGGCTGGACCTGGCTGAGGAAGATGACCGGATGACTCTTCCTGGTATTTATGGTAGGCAAGAGGCCATTTCCCCCCATCTGGGAGCACAGGGGTGGTCAGAGCAATGCACCAGGGGGTGGAGAATACATCCTGATCTCAGATGCTTGACATTTTCTCAGGAGGTAGCTAGTCCTGACCTGAATTCCCAAGTTGCAACAGCTTTGTAAACTGCATCCGACTCAGAAGCCGTTGTTTCCATCCCACTGCTTGTCTTAGTAACTTGAGGCAATCCATTACCATGTAGCGATGCTCAGAGCAGCATCTGTAGACCCTTTGCCATGAGCCTGAAGTCAAAACTCTCAAGGTTGCTCCTCTCTGACATTTAAAATTTTTTTTTTTGGTTTTACAAGACAGGGTTTCTGTGTATTGTTTTGGAGGCTGTCGGTCCAGCCTCTGCCTCCCGAGATCTGGGATTAAAGGCGTGTGCCACCACCGCCCGGCTCTCTGACATTTTTATAAATCACACTCTTGAAGATTAATCTATGTGTACAGTGTTCTGCCTGCATGTATGCCTGTAGGCCAGATGAGGGCACCAGATTTCACTACAGTTAGTTGTGAGCTACCATGTGGTGCTGGGCATTGAACTCAGGACCTCAGTGCTCTTAACCCCTGAGCTATCTGTCTAGCCCAGCTGTGACATCTTAATGTTTTTGTGCCATTGTCCTGGTGCTGTAGTGATTAGGGTAAAATCTGCCTGCACGTGGCACAAGCTATGGTAGCCACTTTACTCTTCCTAACACTCAGTCTCAGAAAGGAAACTGGTGGGAAGCCTTAGCCTTTGGTGAAAAAGTGTGACAACAGCATTGTTGCTATGGATAGCAGAGTGGCTGTATTGGGGACCAGCACCTGGGTGTACATGTATTGGAGATCAAACTGGGTGACATCTCCAGCCCCAGCTACTGTTTATGCCTGCATATATGTATATGCACCAATGCATGTCTGGTATACACGTGGTCATTGGATCTCCTGGAACTGTAGTTGCAGATGGTTGTGAGCCACCATGTGAGTGTTGGGAACAGAGTCCAGGTTTTCTTAGACTGTGTATGTAGACTGGACTGGCCTTACGAAGATCTGGTTGCCTCTGCTCCAGAGTGCTAGGAGCAAAGGGATGCACCACCCCACTCACTATAAATATTTTTGTTTTTGTTTAACTTTTTTGCTACTGAAGTCTCTTTTGCGAGTTGTAACTAGTACTAGTTTCTAACAGGTTTAATGTCAACAGCTGCAAACAACCACATGAGTGTCTCTAGACCATCCCAGCAGGCTTCTGGTGTACCTCACCAGTCCTTCTCCCAGGGGAAGGAAAGTTTGATAGTGTCCCAGGGTCTCTGTGTGTCTTCTATTTCCTCACTGCAGGATTTCAAGCCGTTGAAGTTCAAATGGTCCTAAGGCAGGCCCTCCCCAACATCTGGACTATGCTGAGAGACGAGGGGGTGAGTCCTCACCTAGCTGTGCCTTCTTAGCGGCTCCCTCTCAGATCTGTGAAAGAGGGTGTGTGTGTGTGTGTGTGTGTGTGTGTGTGTGTGTGTGTGTGTGTGTGTCCGTCCGTCCCTTCATGTGAAAGACATCAGCTTTCCCGCTGCATCCCTGGGTGCTCACCTGGCCATGCCTCTCTCTTTCGCTGCAGGTTGTTGTGAAGAAGGTCAGTGAGCCTTACCGATGGTACCTCGAGAATGCCTCTTGTGATCAAATGAGGTGTTGGAGGGAGGAGATTGTGCTCTCTGCAAGAGGCTTTTCCGTCTTTTTCCAGATGTTGGTGAGGGCAAAAAAGGTAGGAAACATATCTTTTTGTTTTTTCCCCATCTTGTGTATTAATGGTGGTGGATTTTGAAGGCTTTGTTAACAAAATTATCTTTTCACTTAACCTTCAGAAGGCCAAGAAGAGATGTTTTTTTTTAAATAGTGATTCTTGGAGTAGGGACATGGTTTCAATGCATCTGATCTGATGCTCTCTTCTGGCTCCAGGCAGCCCAAACACCCATTATAGAATGACTTATTAGTAAAATTTTCAGGTGACTTTTGTTTTTGCTAAGTAGTTTCCTGGACCCAGACTTGTTTTCCCATGGTGGGATTCTGGAAAGACCATGCCTGTGAGATGCTCCTATGTCTTTGCCTTTGTCCCTTGCAGCAGCACAAAATTTTTAATTACCTAAATAAAATTGCCTCGAGTCTACTGTTCTCACCTCTGCCCGTCTCCCTCCCCCTCTCCTTCCCTTCCTTCCATCTCAGCAGTCCCATTACCTTGCGTGAGAGTCCAGACAGCCGTGCTGGCTTGTCAGGTGGTCCAGAGCTATGACCTTTCTCTTACCTGTGGCTTTATTCCATGTAGCCCCTGATAGGACACAATATGATGATGGACCTGCTGCATCTCCACGAGAAGTTTTTCAAACCTCTCCCAGGTAGGGGTGAAGCCTTGTAGCCATAGAAAATGATAGTAACGCGGCTGGGGCTTTGAAGTCCTTGATGAGGATAAGGGGCATTTCCAGTTCTTGTCTGTACTCGGTGGAGTGGGTCTGTGCTATTCCCATGAACCCACACATTCACGGGTCCCCCATCTGGACCTTCCTCCTCAGAAAGCTACGATGAATTTAAACAGAACATCCACAGCCTTTTCCCTGTCATCATTGACACCAAGAATGTGACGAAAGACATCTGGAAGGTAATGAACGCATTGCTTTGGAGTAGGGGATGTTGAGTATACAGGAGACACCTTTCTCTGGTTTTTAACCTATTCCAGACCCTAGTTGTGTTGTATGTGTAAGTAGATGGTGTACTTACTCACTTGGCAGCAAAGCAATAATTTTGTGGGGGGGAGGGCTAGGTACTCTGGCTGACCTGGAATTCATGACAGTCCTCCTGTCTCAGCCTTCCACTACTGGGATCAAAGGTGTATGCCATCATGTGGCTTATTTTAGAGCTCAGTGTGTTTATCAACTGAGGGACCCCTCAGTCTGAGGAAACTTAGGAGTCACAGGTTCTCTGACAGAGTTAAGGTTACCAGAGAGGTTGCAAACTGATCCCAGCCCCACTGTCTACTCCTTGTGGTCTAGAGTGGAGCCAAGTGATACTTGGAAAGCTCCCCACATGGCCGTCCTGTAGCCCAGGTAACCCTACATTTGGGGAAAGGAGGCACAGAATTACTTTCAATCCTTTCTGGAATTAAACAGAGTGACAGCTAGGGGACGCCATTAGTGTTCCAGCCTTGGGATAAGGGCTTAAAGTGACTGGGTGAGGAGGGCAGCAGAACTCAGAAGGGGGCTTCAGTGCAGTTTGATCTTGGGATTTCAGTAATCTGAAGTCACCCCAGGCACTTGTGGCCCATGTCTCGAGTTAGTTCTGAGTGACACTTCTAGCCAGGGCTAGCGGGACATCTATCTCCTGGTCTCCTGAGGCTGGAATGAAGGAATAAGGACAACTGGGTCACCAGGGAGGGGAAGGAGGCCAGGGTTTGCCAGGCCCATGTAGGGACCCTGTCTCTGAGGCCTGCAGCAGATGTTGACCCCAAGCTCTGCTTTGCTGTCCCGCAGGAACTGCGTTTCCCACGGGTCTCCAACCTGTCAGAAGTGTACGACGTGCTGAACAGGTGAGGACAGTGCTTCTGGAGCAAGGCCTGTGGCCTCAGCTGCCCAGGCCCCGAGGGATCCCTGAGAACTTACTCCAAGCCCCCAGTTCTGACGTTGCATACCATTGGCATGCTTTGCCTTGGGCAGCAAGACTACTTTTGGGGTGCAGCCCCACCTCCGTTTCTCCTCTTGCCATCCCCATTTAAAATTTAAAACCAAGCTACTCACTTTCTGAGACTCCTCCTGGCTCCCGTGGTAAGCCTGTGGGGTTTGGCATGGACGTGTATAAATAGGAAAAAAGAGTCAGAACTTCACCAGAGGGAGGAAACCTTTGAGATGCCTAAAACTGCTGTGGTAGCATGCATGTCTGTTCCTGGAGACAAGCCTTGTCTTTGGTCCCTTTAGTAGCCCCACCCATGCCCACTGCTCAAGACTGCCCTCCAGTGCCTTCAAGCTGCCTGTTCATGCGGTGTCCAGATGTTTTCCACAGCCTGGAACAATCTATTAGAAGTCCCTGTTATCTTTCTCTTGTTCTGTGGTCTTGTCAAGACCTTATCTGTCCATGCTTAGATCCGTGCCTTTTATTTTCTTATTTTTTGGGGGTGGGTGGGTGTTGAGACAGGGTTTCTCTGTGTAACAGCCCTGGTTGTCCTGGAACTCACTCTGGTCTTATTCACAGAGACCCACCTGCCTTTGCCTTCTGAGTGAGTGCTGGGACTAAAGGCGAGCGCTACCATGACTGGATCTGTGCCTTTTAAAAAGATGTGCTATGCATCCAGGCCTTGGTGGCACACGCCTTTAATCCCAGCACTCGGGAGGCAGAGGCAGCCTGGTCTACAGAGTGAGTTCCAAAACAATACAGAGAAACCTGTCTCAAAAAACCAACAACAAAAAAAAAGTGCTGAGCAGGTATCTATATAACTTAAGAAGCTTGGGGACAAGAGGAGTTACTTTTAGTGAGTTGATTTTTACACCCACCCTTTTATTCTCCTAATAGTGACTTGAATCCCACTAATAATTCTGGGCCAGAGATTATGCACGGAAGAGACTGTGAAAAATACGGTATGTCCCTGAGCTCCTGCCCCCTTGCTCAGTTGGCCAGGTGCCCTGGTGTAGATGGGAGTTTGTCTTACCTGGTCCCATAGCCATTTAGTCCCAAATAAACACGCAGGCTTATAAACCAGCCTATGGCTCAGGCTTCTTATTGGCTGTCTCTTAACTCATTTCTACATATGTATCTGCACATGATCTTGGCTATCTCCTTGTCCTCTTCCCAGCTTTCTCTTAGTCTGTTTGCCTTGCCTATACTCCTGCCTGTCCACTGGCCGGAACAACTTTACTCATCAGCCAATTAGAGAAGCATACAGAAGGACGTCTCCCGTCACCTGGGGCTGAGCTGAGGGCTCCATGGTTCCCGGGCAGCAGGCTGCAGAGGCTTGGGTGGGGTTCCTCCCTGGCCTGCCTTGCTTTGCCCTACACAACTCAGAATGTTCAGAGCACAGAAGCCCGTTTCCTCTCAGTGTCTACACGGCAGGGACCAGGGTGAAGGAATGTACTGGAAGGAGCAGGGCGTGGTGGGTGACTGGGATGGGACTTCCTTCTTACACATGTTCTCTTTTGGAAAATCACTTCAGTTGAGACCAAGTGCCCCCATGAGGCTGGATACGACGCCTTCCTCTGCGGGTCAGGTAACGTGTTCCCTAATTAATAGAGCATTCTGCCCTGGTGATGTGTACTGGGTTCATGCTGTGTTGAGTTTGTACTTTTCCACAAGCCTTGAGTGGTTACATCTCTAGTTTTCTCTTCCAGTTCTTTTGAAAGTGGCGCACTTACTCCTGGAGAAGGTCTATGGGTAAGTGTCCTCCCTTCCATTGTCTTACTAAGTCCTTAGATCTCAACCAGGGCCTCTGGGGCATGGGACCACCATAGAGAAGGAATGTGTAGTATATGGGTTTCTCACCCAGAGCCAGCCAGTGTTGAAGCAAGGTAGTCTGCCCCAAGGAGCCCTTTCCAGCTGCCCCGCCTTCTGCCTGAGAGCTGGGATACATCAGGGGACCCACATAGCAGGGTTTGACTAGAGAAGTTCCTGGCTCGGTGCTTGTCAGATCCCTGCCGATTCTGGGATGTAGCTGGTGGAGAGCTGGCAAGGGATGGCCTTTATTTGGAGTCAAGGGTGATGTCACTTCGGAGAGTACGAAGTAGAGCTTCCTCCATCCAGACAGGGGCCTTGTTCTCCAAGCCTACTGTCGGTGCTGGTCAGCAGAGACCAGCAGCTCTTGGTCTAAACTGTGTGTGTGAAGGAAGCCCACCAAAATGAGCCCCGAGACTTGGCAGAGATGGAAAGGGGAGGTGCCTGAGGCAGCCCCCTTCCCTGCTTCCCTACCAGAACCTTAGCTGTGAGCCACCACGTGGTTGCTGGGAATTGAACTCAGAACCTCTGCAAGACCAGCCAGTGCTCATAACCTGGGCCATCCCTCCAGCCCCTCAGAACCTTAGCTGTGCCTGATGATCTGTGTAAAAACCTCTGTGCCTGACTGAGTGCTTCTGGCTTTTCTCTCCCTGCAGTAATGATTCTGTGGACGAACTCACTTTCTCTCAGTACCTGGATGTGCTGGAGCCCTATGTGAACCAAGTGAATCTTATCAGAGCTGGGGTTCCTAAAATTGTGAGTATGTCTCACTGCTCTCTGACTGGCCTAGCTCAGGTCTGTAGTGAGCCTAAGGCTCTTTGACGTGCTGTGGGGTCCAAGGAGGAGGTTCACTGCCCATGTTTCTTCTGTTTTCCTGACACAATCTGTGTAGACTCCCACCTTCCTCCTTCCTCACCTTCCTGAGCAGAGCATCTGGGGTCTTAGGCATTTTCAGGTGTACAAGGCATCATATGAGTTTCTCTTGGTTTTGTTTGCCTAGAACCTTTCTGGCCCAGATTACCCCAGTATCCGGCCTCCCGTGCTCATCCTCACCGTCAAGAGTCCTGAGGTCACCGAGCATCAGGTCTACCGGGAGTTCCAGAACCTTTGCAAGTTCGATGTCAGGCGGTTCACTGCAAACCAGTTCCTGCTCCTGACCAATAAGTTTAAAGAGTAGGTATCTGACTCCAAGACCCTCTCTATTCCCAATGCCTCATAGTGGCCGTGTGCGGCTCCATCATCTGCTGACTTGTGCAAACTCCCTTTGTTGGCAGTGCCCGCAGTGTCTTGAAGGAGTACAAAAACCACCCAAACTTACAGATCTCCCTGTACCGGTACTGGAAACATTCCCCCAACATCACCTGCCTGTTAAGGTGAGTCACCTGCCTGCTGAGGTCCCATTTGGTTTGGTTCCAGTTCCTCACTACTAGCTGAGTTGTCAAGTGGTTGTTGACAGGTGTGAAGTGGAGCTCATTCATTCATTCATTCATTCATACCATCTCACTGGAGTTGGGTCCTGCTTTACCAGTGGACCAAAGTGAAACTCTCAGCTAGTTGGGGGGGTAACAGAAATAAGGATGTGAATAGAGGTGTTGGTGATTTGAATGTTAATATGAGAACGGGTAGGGGTGAGGAGAGGCCTGGGTAGGAGTGCAGAGGGGATGATGGACGTCTCGGTAAGATTCAAGGAAGCAAGGGCTGAGGAACCTTGAATGGAGAGCGGGGGCCCAGTGGAGGAGCAAGCACAGGGAGGAGGTGTGGATGTAGGAGGAACCAGGTGAGGGATGGAGAGGAGGGATACAGTCCACCTCCCATTCGCAAGAGCCTCACTGTCTCCTGTGCCAATGGGGGGGCCTCATCAGGGCAAGGGTGGCTGGGTGACTGGAAGGGGATCAAGCAAGCTGCACCCCGAGAAAAGGCTAAGTCGAATTTGATGTCTGGGCCCAAGTGACTGGAATACCAGACTTGAAGCTTCGTGGGGCACCAAAGGCAGTCTCTGACCTCCACCTCTGGGGGCGGCTTGTCTGGATTGACCCCCGAGAGGCAGACATTCACCGTTGGCATCTGGAGAGAATGGTTGAAAGGATGTTTGTGCTGGGGATGTAGAAACTCAGGCCAGCAGCCTGGGACACTTGAGACAACATTGGGAGGAGAGGATGGAGAGCAGAGCCTGTGCCAGTTGCCACTGGTTCCCAGGCAGGCGCCGCCCCGCCAAGGCCTCTGACTTGAGTCTTTATCTTACAGAGTCTGCGGCATCATCACTACCTGGGCCGCGATTGCACTTGTCCTGGGCAGATTCGGCCCCAGACTGCATTGAGCCCCCTTGACTACTGCCGGAGCTTCCCAGGATGGCCCTCATGACTTGTCTGTATAAACAAGTTTGTTTTCAGGCAGACCTGTATGGTGGTCCTTTTATTATTTTGTTCTGTTCTGAATGTGAGATTCTGTATCTTTGTACATGGCCAATGCATTCCTTCCTATAAACTGCTGGGGGAAGTCCTGGCCACTTGGGTTGGAGCCCAGAATTTTTTGATGGGTATGTGTGAGCGAAGGGGCTATTGGGACAGGAACTGACAGAGACAAAGGAAGGAGCTGCACTATGGCTTCAGAAGCTGTGAGTACCACACTGCAGATGTCTGGCCAACACTAGGATACAAACACCAGTAAGACCTCCAGGGCTCCGTCTGCGCTCATGGAACTGGAGGAGCGCAAACATGGAACAGGTCGGCCAGGGGGGAGTTGCAGGCAGTCACGCTGAAGGCGGAGCATGCAGTGCTGGCACAGAAAGGGGTGTCCGTCACCCAGTTGTGGGACTCCCAGGGTGACTGCTGATTCTGCCCCAGCCAAGCAGAACAGGTGTGCGAAGTTCATAGTCTGTGATCGGTCAGCCCTACTATCATGTTACTGCTCAAAGACTGGACACGGCCTTCCCAAGACCTCAGTTTTCAAGACGAAGAGACAAGCCAGAACTCCGACTACCCAAGCCCCCTAAGTTGTGGAAGGTCGCAAACTCAGTTTCGCCACCCTGCTTCTCTGTGAGGGGTTAAGAGGCCTCTCGGGTGTCTCTTCCTTTGATTCCCCCCCACGTTCATCTCTCTTCCAAAGAAACCTCAGCTCTGGGCTAAGGTGGTTTGTATTCCTGCTTGCAGATACCTGGTCCCCTCCACCCTCACCCCTGGCTTCTGTAGAGACCTCCCTTGTGGTCCCTGTGGTCATGTCTTGACACTGGTTTGCAGGGTTCCATCCCACATCTTTGTTCTGCATGGTCCCCTGGTGTCTACACTTCACCGTCCCATGGTAGAAGCCGCCTTCCTCAGCGGGATTTAGTGGAGAGCTGTGGAGGTGTGCAGGACGGATGACTGGGGGAGCTGTCTGAGGTAGTCTCCGTCATCTGACCTTTCTGTCCAGAGTCAGTCCCACCATCTTATTTCCCTGTACTCCTCTGGTTCCAGGGTCTTAGATAGCTTCCATCACATTGGATGTTTTTAATTTTTTTTTGAGATCAGGATCTCTATGTAGCCCTGGCTGTCCTGGAACTTGTGTAGATCCAGGCTGACCTCAAACTCAGATCTGCCTCCCAAGTGCTAGGATTAAAAGCATATGCCACCACTGCCTGGCATGGGTTTTCCATGGGACTCGCACTTAGTTTTGAGGTCCCTGTAGCCTGCTGCCCACACAGGGCCTGAGGCAAGCCAGCCCCAGCTTCCCACCAGCCCAGCTGCTGGGACACTTAGCTGTTTGGATTGCTCTTTATCAGCATGCTTTTTTCTTCATAACTTCACTCAACAAACTCTTCAGAATGTAGGAGGGCTGCCGTGGACAGGCCATGATGAGTTTTTAGAGCTGTGAAAAAATAAACCAAATAAAGCCTCTAGCCAGAGCCCACTTGGAGAGTCCAGGCATCCTGGCGCTCATCCATTGCCTCTGCTCCAGCTTTCCAAATTTCTGAGTAAATCTCAAAAGCCAAGAATTTGACTTTTTGGGCACGCCTGCCTGCTCTCCCCTGAGATGATTGAAGGAAGGACCTCTAAGGAGGAAGATGAGGACCTTCACTTACAAATCACAATGTTTGCCTCAATTGCTGTTCTATAAATAAAGGATAATTTCAAACCAGTATTTGATTTGACTGCTGTATTTGATTCTGTATTCCTCGGTGGCCCAGTGCTGCATCATAGTGCATGAAAAGGGTTCATTCCTAGGTTACCAAGTTCAAGGTCTCACCCACCCCTGCTTTCCTTCCCCCTCTCCGAAGAAATCATGGTGAGAAGATAAGTGCACCTTGAAAACCTTGGGCCTTGGCACCTCTCTCTAGGCCTCATTTCCTGCAGGGCCACTGCCTCCCGGTGGCACCACCCAGTGACCCAGCCTTAATGCACTGTCTGAAACTTAGCGGTGCAGGTCTTGGCCCCTTATTCCCTTTAGTTTTAGGAACTGCCCTGAGCCAGACACCGTCCCGTGCCCTGTTTTCCTGCAGTAGTGAGAGCCTGTGCCCAAACCACCCAGTCTTGCACTGGTGGGAACCTTTTCTTGGGTTTTCAGCACCACTGTCGCTTCCAGGTCACATGATTGCGCATCAGCCAGGTGTTTGCCCACACGCCGCTTCTACAGAGGCCACGCCAGGCCACCATGTCCAACAAGTGCTCTGCTCTTCGTCCTTCACTTAGCTCTATCTTCCTCCCCTTGAAGGAGGCTCTGGGGCAGAGTCCACAGGATGAGCCTTAGCCCCGTGCCCATGTTATGTGTGTAACTGTTAAGGGTATGTCTAAACGTCCTTGGAGTCCAGAAGGGGATGGCTGACCTAGATCCCAACTTGCTGGTGGTTGTGGGCTGCCTAGTGTAGGGACTGGGAGCCAAACTTGAGTCTGTGCTCTTAACCACCGAGCTGTCTCTTCAGACCCTCAGGAAAGGCTTTGAATGTTACAAGGGGGAAAGTCACACAGACTAGAGCGATAGGTCCCCTCCCATATTTTATCATTAACGTAGGACAGGATTCCTAGCTTTTCTTCCCCTCTCACGGCTCCTTTTCACCTATGATATTTCAGTGATCTCATGTATCAGGTATACAAATCAAGCATTTAAGCCGGGTGGCGTAGTGGTGAGTGCTTTGAGACTCGGCACTCAGGAAGGTGGATCTCTGGGGTAGAGGCCAGTCTGGTCTACATAGTTCCAGAACAGTCAGAGCTGTATCCTAAGACTATCTCAAACAAAGTGTTAACTAATAATTACAACTTATTCTTTGGTATACATGTAATTTTAACTTTAAAGATTTTCAAACTAATGATATAACTGCTTGTTTATTTTAATATAAAGAACTAAATCTTGGCCGAATATTCAACGCCTCATCAGTCTTTTTCAGGATTGGCTGATATTCTGATTTTATAATTGTCAGTTCTGAGGATACGAGGATACGATTTCATGTAAATTCATAGTACAAAGTGGTAAAAGTATGTTTGGGGCCATTTCAGAAATTGTTGGAATTACATACCAACCCTGAGCCAAAATTCATGTTACTTTTTTTTTTTTTTTTTTTTTGGCTTTTCCAGAAGGGTTTCTCTGTAGCTTTGGAGGCTGTCCTTGTAGACCAGGCTGGTCTCAAGCTCACAGAGATCCACCTGCCTCTGCCTCCCTAGTGCTTGGATTAAAAGCATGGGCCGCCACATCTGGCTTTATGTTACATTCTTACAGATGAAATTTAAGCAACTCAACCAGAGAATTTTAGAATCCAACAATTGTTTAGAATCAAAATTGTTGCAATCCGAGGATACACTGATACATGCTGAGGAATTATGGGAGGAGTAGTCTGCCTTAATTTTCCCTAATGAAACCAATATATGTGCAGGAAGCTTTGCGCCTGTGGTGAGGACAGGACAGGTCATAGCACGTGACAGTCTCAGGTCTGTGCTTCAGGCAGCTTTTGTCGGTGCTGTGTGGGGTGACAGCGTGCCCAGGGTGAAGTCACGTGATGCCGGAAGGGCTGTGGGCAAGGGAGTCCTGTAGACGGTGAGCATATGCCCTGCTGCTGCCACAGATCCTTGCTGATGGAACTGAAAGTTCATGAAATGATGGAGTCTAAATTATAGATACACCAGACCCAGTATAAACGATAAGTGGAGTTTTATTGGGGAAAGAACTTACACAGGAAACAGTAAATGGCTCTTCCTGCTCCAAGGGTGCAGACCCTGCCTCAACCCGCCCACCATCCTCTCCCTTTAACTGATCACTCCTGCATCCGTAACCACGCCCAAAAGGCGTGGCCGCTGTTTCAGGTTCGCAGACAAATGTATTGCTACAATGAAATACATCTGACAAAGCAGAAGCGGACGTTAGTTCAGCCCACACTGCGAGAGCATGTCTGTCACTTACCTTCACTTGCCCAAACAGTGTGCTGGCCCTCACATTGTACTCCTTGGATTAGGCAAATGAAGGGTTCCTCAAAGCCCAGCAGGGAATTCTCAGAAGGTAAGGGTGAAAATTTAGGAACCATAGCTGGTGATGGTGGCACACACAATCTCAGCACTTGGGAGGCAGAGACAGGCAGATCTCTGTGAGTTTGAGGTCAGCCTGGTCTACAGAGCATGTGCCAGGACAGCTAGGGCTATACAGAGAAACCCTGTCTCAAACAAAAGACCGTCCATAACAGTGGCATTTGCTGCTGAGTGCTGGTAGTTGGTGTGGCGACCTCCGGCGATGGACGCAGTGTCCCCCAGACACATCATTCTCCTCCCACAGATGAAGTACCCGAACCCTAGGAGACTGGGGAAGTTGATCAGGGGACAGAGCTGAGCAGGGTCTGAACGTGGGTGGTATCAGCTGCCCCTGGACATGTGTGTGCAGGTTTCGGTGGAGCTACACACAGTGTGACCCATAGAGGAGCTTTGTCAGGAGATGGGGACAAGGGACTCTGATTCCTGCCAACACCCCCACAGGGTGAGAGTCCTGAGTGGGGGTCTCCAACAGGCTTCCTGCTTTGGGTCCTGGGCCGGTGAATGGTGCCTGGGTCTGCAGCATGATGGACTTCTTCTGCTGAGTCATCTCTCCAGCCCCTGCTCCCACCTTCTGAGTGCCTGGACTATAGTCATTTGTTACGATGCCTTTGGGGCCCTGGGAATCAAACCCGGGGCTCTATGCATGCTAATCAGTCTACCAACTGAGTTACATTCCGTCTCCCTTGAAATAATTTCTTTTTGTTTTTCAAGACAGGTGCTTTGTGTATAGCCCTGGCTATCCTGGAATCGCTCTGTAGACCAGCTGGCCTTGAACTCACAGAGATCTACCTGCCCTGGCCTCCCAAGTGCTGGGATTAAAGGCGTGCTCCACTACTATCCATCTTGACACAGATTTGTTTTAGGTTACTTTAGAGGGATGGAAACAGGGGGCTCAGGAGCTAAAGGTCATCTTCCACTGCTTACTGAGTTCAAGACCAACCTGGGTTACTTGTCTCAAGAAAGCTAAGAACTATTAAGCCCAGCACTGTGGGTGAGGGGGCAGGGGCAGGTGGAATTCTATGATCTTGATGCCAGCCCAGTCTACAAAGTGAGTTCTAAACCAGCTAGGGCTAAATAGTGAAAGCCTGTCTTAATAATAATAATAATAATAATGATAATGATAATGATAATAATAATAATAATAATGAGCCAGGCGGTGGTGGCACACGCCTTTAATCCCAGCACTCGGGAGGCAGAGGCAGGCAGATCTCTGTGAGTTCGAGGCTGGGCTGGACCGACAGCCTCCAAAACAATACAGAGAAACCCTGTCTCGTAAAAACCAAAATAATAATAATAATAATGATAATGAACTAAAGCCAAAATATAACTTTAAAAAGCCATTCAATTTTATTTTATTTTTATTTTTTATTTTTTTTATTTTTTTTTTTTTCGAGACAGGGTTTCTCTGTGGCTTTGGAGGCTGTCCTGGAATTCGCTCTGTAGACCAGGCTGGCCTCGAAAGATCCGCCTGCCTCTGCTTCCCGAGTGTTGGGATTAAAGGCGTGCGCCACCAACGGCCCTGCAAGCCATTCAATTTTAATCCTCCCTGCAAGCAAGCACTGTCGTCTGTCTCGTCCTTTATTCGTGTTGACAGCCACTTAGGGGATGCAAATCCAGGCACACCCAAGACTTAATCTGCAGGTGTGTGGTGAGTGCATGGGAGCAGACTTCTGAGCTCGCCACCACTTCCACACTCAGGAGCTCACCCTGCCCCCAGGACTTCCCCGTGCCCTCGCTCCAGTAATTTTGGGGCCTCAGTCTGGGAAGGCTCTTAGTCCCACTTCCATAATAGTCCAAGTGCGGTGACTCCGGACAGGGACGAGGAGGACTCGCGTCTGCCCAGGCCTGCTTTTCTGCCGCCTGGAGTCAGAGAAAGCCCGGAGCGGTGGGGCTGGCTCACTCTGCTTTTCCTTCTGGCTTTTTCAAGCGAGGCAAGGGTGTGGGGTCAAGGGCATTGAGGCATCAGGAATGCCCGAGAGCCTGCCTGTGCATTTCTCCCTAACTAAGGTCAGGCCAGTCAGCTGGAGGGAAGGACAAGGCTACCTGGATACCTGGTGCGGCCTGATGGCGTTTTTAGATTGTTTACTTTTAAAGATTCTTTTTTTAAAATTGTTTTTTAATTACGTGTACGTTGTGCACATGCGTGTGTGTCTGCATGGGGGTGTGACCGTGTGAGCGCAGGTGCCCATGGAGGCTGGAGGACAGAGACATTGGATCCCCCTGGAGCTGGAGTTAAAGGTGGTTGTGGACCACCTGGTGAGGGTGCTGGGAACTGAACTCTGGTTGTTAGTATTCAGGCATCTGTACTGGCCCGTCCTTGGGGTCCTGACAGGACATGCCCTCAGCTGCAGCCACTAAGAGCACCACCTACTTGTGCCTATTCACCATGTTCCCTTTTAGAAGGGCCCTGCCCACCTCCCGTCCTTCCCACCCATCTCTCCCTCTTTACTCTCTCCTCTCTCCTGCTGCACCTGTCTCCAGAGTCCGGTCTCCCTCCCTCCTTTCCCCCTTTATGATCCTTTTCCCTATTAAAAAACCCTCTGCTTGAACCCTGTCACATGGCATCTTTCTCTCGTGCTGCTTTTCTTAAATTACAACACCAGTCGTCTGGAAGAAGACTACCTCTCGATGCTTGAAACTTCCTGGAGCTGGAAAGAGACGGTGCACAGGTCCTGGCCTCATGGGTTGATCAGCCTAAAGGCTGAGGGGGATCCAGACAACACAGGCTTACCATGTAGCTTTCCCAACACCTTAGACAAAACCACAGAGAGTGCATCCTCAAGAAATGTTTATAAGTGAACAGACGACAACAGTGTTGTAACAGCATTTGGCATCATCTCTTCTTATATGGGAACAAAAGCATTTTTTATGATGATTTAATTTTTAAATATTTACACTGTTTATTTGTGGGTGGGTGGGTGCATGCGTGTGTGGAGGTTAAGTTGATACTCTTCCCACTGCGTGGGAGCCACCTCAGGTTGCCAGGGTTAGCGGCAAGCACCCTTTACCTACTGAGTCCTCTCACCTGCCGGGCTCCAGATGCCTACACGGTTACCAAAACAGAGAGACACATACATCCAGAGTCAGTCCCCAGTGATACAAAATATGAAATAAAATACTGCCCTGAACTGACTGGAATCAGGGTCAGGAAGGTCGGACTCAGTGGAGCATCAGATCTGACTGACTTGCCAACTCCTTCAAAGAGCGTCCTTGACACCCCCAGGGAGCCCCTGAGGTGCTGTCAGGATTTTAAATCACTTCATCCATTTATAACTCCTCCGGTCACTAACTCGGTTCTCCAAAGCAGAGTGAATCCTGGTGTTGGAATAAGTGACTGCAAGCCACAGGGCAGAGAGTAAGGAAACCTCCCTGGGACTGCTTTAGGTAAGTCACACGCTTGTTCCTCTGCCCGTTGACGTTAAAAACAAAAAGAGAAAAGCGCTTGGCTGTTAGGGTCACTCTTGTGGTTTCACAGCGGTGGAAGCTGGTTCTGTGCGTGAGGGATGCACCCCTCAGCTACATCTCATTGTTAAATTCAGGGGGAGGGGCACCGTGACAGTCTCTCAGAGCAATCCCCAGCAAAAGACAAGTGTTTGAAGGAAGGCGACTGTCATGGAAGGGTGTTGATTGTCACGGAAGGAATGACACTTTCTGGTTTGTAGCTCGGAAATGGCCCCTCTTGCCTCCAGAGTCCACTCGGAGCCGGTGCTCTTCTGTCGATGAGGTCACTCATTCTCACGGCACCGTGGCCCGTGAGGATGTAAGGTTATATTCCTAGCTGAGAGTTAATGACAAGACACCCTCCCAACTCGGCAGCCAAAGGAAAGGTCCAGTGAAATCCAACAGACCAAACCCAGTTCAGGATGGAGTGAGGTGGAGACCACAAAGATGGAGAACGTGGTGGTGTCCCAAGAGGCCCCTGTCACCACTAGACTAATAACATTCACACTTGGCAGGGAGTACAGCTCATGACAGGGTGCTTGTATAGTACATTAGGCATTGGGTTTGTCCCCCAAGCACCACATAGACCATATGGCAACGTATTTTAGGCTTCGCCATTTGTGTGGGCTAAAATAGCATTCAGATATTTATTTTATCATTTATTTTGAGACAGGATCTTACTAAGTGGCTCAGGGTGGCCCCAAACTTGCAGGAATCCCCCTGCTTCCACCTCTGACTGTTCCAATTATGGATATTCCTGACTCCATTCTGTTGTCTTAATTGACATTTTTGATAACTATTGAGTTTAAAAACTTCTGATTATGGGTCATTTTTGCTTACTTGTAGTGGGATTATAAATTATCCACCATTTAATCTTTACCCATTTATCTATTGGTATCCTACCATTTTTATCCTTGGTTTAGCCAAACATTCCACATTAACCTGCTGTCATATGGATACAGGCCCAATGCCACCAAATCCTAGAGCATTCAGTACAACCCCTAGTTTGTTGGGTTTACATTTAAGGTTTTATTTTATGAAAGCCAGTTGCATTATGGGATTTTATCTCAAGAAAATGACTGGATGAGCAAATTCTATAAATAGTGCTAAGAAGAAGCTGGGCCTGACCTTAAAATAGCAACGTCTTTCCACTGTGCCTTGGGAGTACAGCAGAATGTTTTCTTGGCAATAAAAACAGAAAACACTCCATTTCAAAAGTATCTTCAGCAGCATTTCCAATCAGCCACTCAGCAAAGAGCTGAGGAATGAGAGATGGTGTGTTAGCGAGGTCAGGTAATAGCTGTATGCTGTGATATGGGAGGGAAAAACATGATTTGTTTTGTACCCATTTTACAACAAAATGCCCGGCACGTTGCTCCTGGGTGTGTAAGCACATCATGTCTAAGCAAAGGACAGGAGGAGAGAGGAAGGGATGCAAGAAGTCGGGAATGGTAGAATGCTCCCACAATCCCAACATTCAGGAGGCTGAGGCACAGCATTGAGAGCCTGAGGCTGGACTGAGCTACGTAGTAAAACCTTGTCTCAAAAGACTAAGTAAGAGCCGGGCATTGGTGGCGCACGCCTTTAATCTCAGCACTCGGGAGGCAGAAGCAGGCGGATCTCTGTGAGTTCGAGACCAGCCTGATCTACCGAGTGAGTTCCAGGACAGGCTCCAAAACAATACAGAGAAACCCTGTCTCAAAAAAACCAAAAAAAAAAAAAAAAAAAAAAAAAAAAGACTAAGTAAGGATTGGGGAAGATCAGAGAAGGAGGGATCCTGGGGGTGTGGAGGAAGGCAGGAAGGGAGACAGAGAGAAAAAGTCCATACCCAAGCCAAGCTTCACTTATCCTTGTTGATGCTCCCTCTAATCCTTACAGGATGGTATCTTTAAAGGACTCCTGGGACATCCTCTCTATCTCTCAATTGGTCCCATGACAAATTCTCAGTGTATGAGTAGTGAAGATGCTTGTAAGACAGCACGGGTGTCCTTATATGTACTAACATGTTTTCCTCTGATGCACTCAGAGGAGACCCAAGGGAGAGAAAGTGAGGAATGGTGTTGGTGACGACAGTAGGAATAGTTTATGGCAGCTCTCAAAGACTGTCCTGGGTTATATGGTCTCACGGGTGGATCTGAGGGTCAGACTCCTTAGGGCACAGTCTGGTTCAGGACCGTCCATGCTCTGAAACCTTACTAAACCTTCTTACCTTTATTTGTGACACTGGATTAGTAGCAGTGGCTCTTTAGAGTGACAAGTGAGGCATTGCTGTGACACAGAGTTTTGTGCTGGGAAGGCAGGACCAAGCCAGGGTCAGGGTCTGTGCTAGAGTACTTGCCCAGCATGTATGGTGTCAAGAGTCAATGCCCGGTACTGGCAAAAAAAAAATATATTAGCTCCTATCAAGTTACCAGTGGCCAAGTGTGTCATGTGTACAGTGTGTCCTGTTATCATTTCTTTCCAGGAGGAATGGAGGACTTTCTCTTTAGTTTTAGGTGAGCCACCAGGTGGGATGGTGGGGAAGAGGTTATATTCCCACACAGGGATAGTATCAGGCACCCTTCCTTGGGGATGCCCTAGCAGAAGTTCACGAAGATGGAGAGAGCTGTGTAACATTCTCCCTCAAGCCCACCTCTGGCTTTTCCTCAAAGACCTTTTGCAGTGCTTCTTTCAGAGACTTTCTACTCCTCTTCCTCCTCAGACTGCCTACCACAAAGTAGATGATTGGGTTGATGCTGCAGTTAATAGTGGACAGCATGTTCAGGTAAGGGAGGGAGTCCCATACAGACTCATCTGTTGAGTATGAATAGTAGGCGATGATAAGTAACACCTTCATGGGCATGGCGAAGAGGAGAAACAGGATGACCGTGGTCATGATGATCACATAGAGCTTGCCTGGCTGGCGTGGCTTCAGGTTACAGCAGACCTGGATGAAGAGGATTAAGTTGGAGAAGACCATGAGAGGAACAAAGACCAGGAATGTCAAGATGCAGGAAAACATGTACACATAACGGCATTCTGGGAACTGCGGCATCACTTTCATAATGCAGAAGAAGTTTTCCAACCCAGACACAAGAACAGAGAGGGCCCACAGCACGGCACAGGCCACAGCGGACTGGTGCTTTGGGCGGCGACACTGGTACCAGATTGGATAAAGTACTGAGAGGCACCGCTCCACGCTGATGGCTGTGAGGAGGTGAAGGCCCGTGTTGTAGCCGAAGAGCATGAGGAAGACGGTGTAGGTCAGTAAGGTGTCATCATGGATGTGGAAGGTGTTCACTAGTTGAATGACGGATGAGCAGAGGAGAACCAGGAAGTCGGCAATGGCGAGATGCAGGATGTATACAGTGAATGGCTTCTTCTTGACGCAGAAGATTAGGAACCATATCAAAAGTCCGTTCCCGGTCAGTCCCAGCATACAAATCACCAGGGAGGCACAAATATAATTGTAGTCAGTCACTTCCTTTGAAGACCCGGTGGTTTCATTTAGGGATTTGTTTCTGGTGTATTGTGTGGATTCCAGAGGAGAAAAGGTCGTTGCCACTGGCTCCATTCTTGGGAAACCTCTTTCTCTGTGGTCTCCTGTGGTCACAAGTGAAATTCAGTGACAGTTGTCATCTACTTAGCATCTTAAGATGGTTTCATATTACTGGGGAGGCCCTCTCCCTTGTGAGGGCTGAGGGAAGCCAGGGTGCCCTGCTGTGTCTTCTCCTCTCCCTCATCGCCTGTCCAATTCTCCCTTCTTCAGTTCTTTACCCAGAAGACACCACTGGAATGTCACGTCCCCTCCCCCAACACCAGGGCTGACTTCCCACCCCAGCCCTAGCTACTGGCACCCACAATTCCCCCCGCCCCTTGGGAAAGCCCACTGTCTCTCTCTCTCTCTCTCTCTCTCTCTCTCTCTCTCTCTCTTTTTTTTTTTTTTTTTTGAGACAGGGTTTCTCTGTGGCTTTGGAGGCTGTCCTGGAACTCGCTCTGTAGACCAGGCTGGCCTCGAACTCACAGAGATCCGCCTGCCTCTGCCTCCCGAGTGTTGGGATTAAAGGCGTGCGACACCAACGCCCGGCCCAATCAGCTTTCTTAATAATTATATAAAGTGCTACTATTATTATCTCCATTTTGCAGACAGGGGTCACAGGTCTCTCACTGAATCTGGGCCTCAATAATTCAGCTAATTGCACCAGGGACCCCATCTTTGCCTCGCAAGCACTGAGATTTTAGGCAGACACTGCACTCTCTCAGATTTTAAATGACTTCTGGGACTCCAAACTCTGGTCCTCACATTTGCAGGTAAGCACTTTACACACGGAGCCATCCCCACAGCCCTAGATTTCATCCTTTAAAGTATTTTTATTCTAAGTGCCTCACACAGAGTGCAGACACACGTAGCTCATTAGACTGGCCATTTTCAAACAGTTTGGTTTCCGGGGCTAAGGATGTAGCTCAGTTGGTAGAGTGTTTGCTTATTTCTCATGATGCTCTGGTTTGATCTCCTGCACCATATATACTAGGTATGGTGTTTTGTGCCTGTAATCTCAGTAGTCAGGAGGTAGGGGCAGGAATATCAAAAGTCAATGTCATACTCAGCTTTCTAGGGAGTTAGAGGCTGATCGAAGCTAAAAGAGACCCAGCAATTGTGCACAATATCAACCTTTTAGAATGGAGTGGGGAGAGGCTCACAGACCACCGTGACTCACTGCCAAAGACAATTGATCACTTCTGGAGGAGGAAGAGCCATCTTGAGGATTATGGCCCCTGATAGGTCAAGTATGCCCCTGTGGATGGCCTCACACTCCTATGGACAGCTCAAACTGGACTCCATGGGTTATTAAAACAAAAACAAAACAAAAAAAAGGAAGAAACTAAAAACAAAACAAAAAAGACATGAAGTTGGGAGAAAGGGGTGGGAAGTGGATCTGAGAGGAGGGAGGGGAGAGGTAGGGGTTAAGCATGATAAAATCACACTGTATGCATATAGAATTCTCAAAGAATAATAGAATTTTTTTTTTTTGCTTTTTCGAGACAGGGTTTCTCTATGTTGCATTGGAGGCTGTCCTGGAACTCGCTCTGTAGACCAGGCTGGCCTTGAACTTACAGAGATTCACCTGCCTCTGCCTCTGGAGTGCTGGGATTAAAGGCGTGAACCACCAACGCCCAGCTAGAATAATAGAAATATTTTTAAAAGTTTTTTTTGAACCAACATAAGCAAGAACTTGAACAGTGAAGCTTTTTTTTTTCTGTATTGATCATTTTCTCAAATAAAACAAAATTTGCTAACCTGATATGGGAGGAGCATCTGAACATTTTAAACAGACCGCATATGGTTTAGCAAGGTGGTAACGCCTTGATACTTTGTTTCCTCTTGAACAGAATGTTAGTTCTGGCTAGACAGTTCAGAGCTTAGCAAGGTGGTAAAGCCTTGATACTTTGTTTCCTCTTGAACAGAATGTTAGTTTTAACCAGACTGTTTAGGGCTTAGCAAGGTGGTAAGCCTTGATACTTTGTTTCCTCTTGAACAGAATGTTAGTTTTTTTTTTTTTAACCAGGCTGTTGGGGGCTTAGCAAGGTGGTAAAGCCTTGATACTTTGTTTCCTCTTGAGTAAAATGTTAGTTCTAACCAGGCAGTTTAGGGCATAGCAAAGTGGTATAATCTCGATATTTCCTTTCTCCTTGAACAGAATGTTCTGGATGCTTTGCTCGCATTTTCTACTTGTGGGAATTAGGGCCTTTGCTGGCCTGTAAATGTGCATTGATCTTTTTTGTGACTTCTATTGGTTTCTTCAGGTAAAGCCCAGGCCTCTAGGCAGGCCAGTTTGGCTTCTCAAGGGCTGGTTCAAGTACAGACCCTTCCCACTCAAACCCCACTCTCTTCCCTTCCCTTCTTTTTTACTAAGCCCACTGTCACAACCCTCTGTCCGAGGAAGGGCCTAGGGTGAGAGCAGAATCGCAGTGGGGGAGGGGCTGGAAGATCCCACAGGGTGTCTTTGTCATAGACCAGGAGCCACCAGGAAAGCCACTTGCAACAGCTTGCCTGGAGACCAGAGTGTTAAGTGCTGAACAGCATGCTGAGTGGGCTCCTGCTTGTGGCTATGCTTCCATAGACATCTAAACAAATAAAGGAATGGATCTGCTGTGTAACATTGTCCAAACTAACCTTTCTGCCTGGATCCAAGCGTATGGATAAACAAAAAGGAACTTACTTGAATTGTGCATCTTACTAGTCTGACCATAGGAACAAAGCATGATTTAAGAGAGAAAAACCAGAGCCAGGAGGTCGTGGTGCCTGCCTTATCCTAGCACTGGGAAGGTAGAGGCAGGTGGATCTCTGTGAGTTCAAGACCAACCTGGTCTTCAGGGAGAGTTCCAGGACAGCCAAGGCTACACAGAGAAACCCTGTCTTGAAAAACAAAAAAGCAAAGAGAGAGAGAGAGAGAGACAGAAAGAAAGAGGGAGACAGAGACGAAGAGAGAGAAGGTAGACTTGAGAACAGAACAAGTAAGTACAATTTTACTAATCATTCTGATTGGCTGATTCCACATCATTGTTAAGGAGCCCAGTGAGGTTGGAGGCCATTCTCACTTAACATGGTGAGGATTCTGGGCTCTCAGGACCTGCCTCGGGTCTGCAACCTGCTACTAATACCATTTCCTGTAGGCAGGTGCTCTCTGACTTCCCATCTGGATGCAGATACTACACCTCAGTCAACCCTATCTGCAACTCTCCCTGGGAGTTCTCACTGCAGAGAAGGCAGGAGGGCAAGGCTGGGAAAGGCATTTCAAGGAGAAGCTGAGCTCATCTTCGGAGTGGGTGGAGTCTGCTAAACCTGCCTCGGATAGCGGACACGGACAGCCTCACATATTGTGGTGGGAGTTGGCCAGTTGCCTTTGCAGGCTTCCCCTACCCTATTTTGGACTTATAGCCTACTGTCCAGAACGTGGTATTTATGGCCTTTCCTAGTGATTTCTCTCAGCCTCTCATCCTGACTCTCAGATCCAGTCAATCAAAGAAGCTCAGCGGGAGTTAAATGTGCTCACATCCGTGTGACAATGTTCCGTAGAGAGCTACAAAATAGAACAGAGCCGCATTTATTTCTGGTGCTGATTCAGGGTTCCAAACCAAGTGTCACTTGGGGTGTGTGCAGACCCAGCACCCTGCACGATGTGCGTGCCCCCGTGAGCACACCCACACATAGATGGGACAGTTATTAGGTGACCTTTTAACTTTTTTGGTGCTCTTAGGGGAGGCTCTGTGGTTGCAGTCGAACCAGAAGACCCCCGTTTCAGAAGACATGTGGTGCTGGGGCCCTTGGGAGCCTGTCAGAGTGGACCCAGTGTGGGCCTCTTTGCAGAGGGCTGGGAGGAGGAAAGCTCAATCACAGAGATCTTTCTGGAAGAGGCAAGTGAGAGCACTCACGGTCTGCTGATGTGAAGTCACTGTGGCGATGTCTGGTTCTTCCCCCAGGGCTTGCTATTTCCGCTAGTTCTCAGGCCCCGTTCAGCAAGCAAGAAGGTTCTGGAAGGCTGAAAGAGCCCACATCAGTCTGGCACCAGTCTGTTCTCAGGGTCTTATTTTGGCCTCATATCTGGCCAGTGAAATTTAGATTCCTGTTGGCAAGCCCTGAGGGCAGAGGGCGGGGCCAGTTTTCCTCTGAGACCTGTCAGTCAAACCAATAACCGCTTGACACTCTTAGTAGTTTGCATGAAGTCCCAGCTAATGGGAAAATATCCCTAAGTACCCCAATAGAAGCCTGACATGTCATCATTTTCTAGCTCTTGGTGAACTGGAAGCATGCCCCAGCGCTCTATAGATAGTCTTCGTGTCGCCTGCCCCACTCCCACTTCCTGCTTCTGTGCAGGCACCAGCTCTCTCTGGGACAGGTACTGTGGGGTTTCTTGGTCTATTCCCACCGATATAATTACCCTCCCTACCTCTCTGCTACAGACCATGGCCCGAAGACATGATTATCAGAGCTACTTGTGGAGAGGAGGGCCATGGAATAAAAAGTGGTGTTCCCAGGGGAATGTTTGCTGGGGAGTGGAGAGAGGTGTTGCTGACCCTGTCCCAGACCACGGGTCCTTTCTTGGGGCTGTAGCGCTGTTCCATTTTCATGAGATAGCAAGAAGGTGGAAAGATGGTGGTGTTGCTAGCTAGTGCTAGTAGAGCGCGCAGGCGCGCGCGCGCACACACACACACACACACACGTTGTCATGGCACACACTTGGAGTTGGAGGGCAACATTTAGGAGTTGTTCTCTTCTACCATGTGGGTCCCAGGGATCAAACTCGGGTTGTCAGGCTTGGTTGCAAGTGCCTCTTCACTGAGTGATCTTGCCTGTCCTACTTGAGGATTTTTTTTAAGTCAATGATATTTGTGGCAGACTCCCCCTCCATATGAGTCACAGACTTTGTAATCCCTCCTCCTTAAGTGGGAGGAAAACTGACTCCATTCTAATTAATATGTTGTGGCAAAGCTGATGGGACATTGTTTCCATGCTGTCTAAGTTTGCTGATATACTTGGACAAGGTCTGCTATAGACAAGTTCACCCTGAATTCCTAATCCCCCTGCTGCCAACTCTTTAAGTATTAGGATTACAAGCATGTGTCACCATGCCCAGATTCTACTTTCTTTATGGTTGTTTTTTGTTTTGAGATATTTCTTGAAGTTGTGATCCTTCTGCCTCAGCCTCCGCAGCACTGGAATTAAACTTCCATTATACCCAGCTCCCAGGATTAGCTTCAGTCAGCTATGCAAGAAACAAAGACATGGGAATGATTGTCATAAAAGAAGACACTTATTTCACAGCTCCCAGAAGTAGGTAAGGCAGGAACCCAGCTTCTGGTCACACAGAAAGTACAGTAGTTGGTCAGTAGACAAGAAAGTGTTTTTATTTCCCGAGTGCTGGGATGATGGACTATTAACCCGAGAACTAGGGATCCAAACTCAGGTCCCCATGCTTGCACAGTAAGCACTGTGTGAACTGAGTCATGTCCTCAGTCTCCAAATAGAGTGTTTCATGACATATACACATCTGAGCATAGATTGCCTCACAGCCTTCCATGTAATACTAATTAAAAAAAAAAAAGCAATCCTACCACTTGATGGCACCAGAAAATAAGGAACCCACAGGGACTATTCACTGCCTCCTGGTAGAACCCTGTACCTTTTTCCAAGTGCCTGGGAAGGATGCTATTTTTTGAGGTGGTTTTGGTGTATTTCTGTTCTCGAGGTTGGGGCTCTGTTATCTAGGAAGCAGGTTCCAAAGGACCTCATTGCCCCAGCCCAAGTTTAATGCAGAATCTCAAAGTTCACTGTGTTGCCAGTGAAAGGAGGAATGTTCTGGAAACTTCCAAGGCTGCTCTGTAAAAATATCAGTGGTCTCTCGTGGAGGACTAAGCATAGGGCGTTTATTTTAAGACAGACCTGGAGGTTTGGGGCTGTTGGGGGGAGCAGTCATAGAGAAGCTAGCTGTTTTTCTGTGCTCACACACATCACTTCTGACAGCAGATGTGCACAGGCCCCCCACCGGCTGATTCGTTTCCTCACTGCAGACCCTAGCCCGATACCACATGATTTAATTCAGTTATGAAATCACCTGAGTTAGTGTAAAATTCCAGGTTGAAGGCTCTGTCCCTCAAGAATGCAGTTGCCAGGATGAGTCTTCTGGGTGAGTTATAAATTGGGGCTCCCAGTGTCCCCCTCCAAGTTTGTCACAGCACTCGGGAGGCAGAGGCAGGCGGATCTCTGTGAGTTCGAGACCAGCCTGGACTACCAAGCGAATTCCAGGACAGCCTCCAAAGCCACAGAGAAACCCTGTCTTGAAAAAACCAAAAAAAAAAAAAGGGCTACACCTCAGACAGTCGGTGGAGGTACTCAAGAAAGGAATGTGCCGAGGGACAGATGTGTCTAGAATCTCCACAATTATGGCCAGCTTCCTAAGTCCCATCTGTGTAGACAATTACGGATGCTCTACTACACAGGTGTACTTGATTAATTCACTAGCAGTGGCAGGTGAACGCTACCATAATCTCCTCCATGAAAGTCTCAACCTTCTAATCACATGGGCAACTCCTCCGGCAACTAGTCTCTCTCCTTGCGGGCTTTCTACGCTCTCCTCGGGAACAGACTCCGGTGAGGCTGAGGAGTGTTGGAAGTTATGAAATAGTGACCTTTTCCGTCAGTCAGGGTGGCTGTTACACACACATACACACACACACATTCACATACTCACACAACACACACATAAATGTTATAAACGAGGACATGGGACATAAGGATTTTGGAAGTGGAACAAGATGGAGAAGGCTACTGGGGGTCTACGGGGAGGAGACTCCCTAGGGATGCTCCCCACCCCAAACAGCGTAAGTAGCTTGGATACTTATTGCTTTGTCATTACAGACAAAGCTGGAGCAGTTACCAAAAGCTGAAGCAGCTCTCTCCTTCTGGCCACTCGGTGTCTGAGTCCCTTCCTGGGTCGGGGGATTCTCCATTGTGTGTGTTTCTTTCTGTCCTCCTGTGCACATGCTGGCCACGCTTTTGACCTTGACACAGCACACCAGACACGCTTCATTTTGCCTCCAGTACTCTGCCCATAAGGAGCAGAGACACAGGAAGAACCTTCAGTGTGGGGGTGACGATGGTAAGACTGAGGCCAGCACACGATGTAGGGGACCATGGGGGCAGGATGCCACTGACTCACTGTGCTTCGCGGAGGCAGCAGCCACACCGTGGTGGGGCTAAATCTGCTGCACGCTTTTAGCTCATGCAGTTGTTCTTTTGGCAACCTAACTAAACAGCCTGGATTTTTTTTTTTTTTTTTTTTGCCTCCTGGAGATTCGGTGAACCAACTGACATTCCCTTAATAAATGCTCTTCCTACTGAAGTTGGTGGCCGTTTGGGTTGCTTGCAGGTCCCGAAGGGTTTATTTGGCTTGTAGTTCAAGGGGATACAGTCCATCTTGGTGGGAAGCCATGTTTGCAGGACAGTGAGGTGGCTAGACATGTTGCCTTAGTTGTCAGAAAGCAGAGAGACGTGAGTGTAGGTGTCAGAGCACTTCCTGGGTTTGTGTAGTTCAGGACCCCAGCCTACAGAACAGTACCACCTACATTTAGGGCATGTCTTCCCACCTCGGCTAACCTAATCTAGGAAATCCCAGCATGCCCAGAGGCGTTGTCTCTTTAGTGATTCTCTATCCCATCAGGTTGACAGTATTCACTAGGATAGCAATCAATTAAACATAGCAAACCAGAGGATTCTCGTTCCCAGCACAAAGACATGTCTGAGGTGGTGGACAGAGCGGCTACACGTTGCACACACCATATGGAAATGCCCCCACTGTATCCTGCATGTGTAACATGCAGTGGTTATCCTATCATGTGTCAATTAAAAGTGAAGATACTTTCATAAAAGATGTCCTCCAGCAACTCAAGGGTCCACTCCAAGAGGAATGAATCAACAAAACGTGCTTTTTCCATGCAAGATTGAAAAAGACTTTGGGCGTAACACATAGTATTTTAATGAGCAGGGTTTTCGTTTGGGAAGATGAGCAGGCTCAGGAGACAGATGGTGGTGCTGGGTGCACAGCTGTGTGACTGTGCTTACTGCCATGGAACTGAAGAATGGTAGTCAAGGTGTTGGAGTTTCAGTTACCTGAGCTGTGTGAGAAGACGGATCTCAATGCCTTTCCAAAGTGCCTAGCATGGAAGTTACAATTCAAGCCTGTAACTTATGGTTTGAATTTTTGTGTGTCCCTCAACCCCTAAAGCTAGATTGAAGTATCAGCTGTGGGCTCACTTGAAAATCAAGTCAATTGCAGCTGTAATCAGTCAAGATGGGTCATGCTGGAGTAAAATGAACTCATACTGTGTTAATTTAACCTGAATGGTATCCTGATAAGAATTTAGAAATTTGAGGGCAAGGCCACAGAGCAACAGAGGCAGAGGAGTGCTGTAGCTTTAAAACAAGGATTCCATGATTTGACAGCCACCACTGGAGCTCAGGAGAGGCAAGGAGAGCTGGTACCCACCTTCAGAGGGAACCTGGCCATGCTGGCATCTGAACTTGCACTTTTGGCTTCTGAAACTGTGAAATAATACATTCTGCCATTTCAGTCTATCCTGCTTGGGGTACTGGGTTACATGAGCTCCAGTCACCTGGCACAGTGAGTTTTCAGAATGCCTGCTAACCACCCCCCCTCCACCCAACAGTGTCCTATTCTGCTTTTCCCATAGCCACCCCCCCAGTCAGACCAACCTTATCAAGCCCTGCTTTTTACAGTTTGCATGATAAAATCCATGAGCTGGCTCACTAAAAATTTAAATGGAACTCTGAATTCAACATCCATGCTCGAAATGGCTTGCCCCACACAGCTGGCAAAGCCACAGCTGAGACATCTGGATACTTACTGGGGGACTCTATGATGTGGGCATGTCTTTGTCCCTGACTTAGAGGTGAAGCTGAGGCTTGGGGGAAGTTAAGTCACTTGCTCTGAGTTGACAGTGGTGGCGTTGAGTGGGGACACTGGCAGGCTGTGCC